CTCTACATTTTCATGCCAGAAACGATCCTTTATACTGTATGGTTTCTTTGTAATAAGTAAAATACGAACATGCTGCATTGAAGCCAGCTTGCCCCGATAGTAGGGTAAGTTGGCTATACGACAAAAGTCCACATGTGTTGAATTAATGAAAACGTAATAGAAATACAAAACGTATCAGATATATACTTAATTCTTGATAAAGATTGTATCTTTTAAAGTTATAGTTTGTAATGATTGCGAATAGCAAAATGTAGCTTTTTTCAATATAAAAATATGAAATATAAATATATATCTAGCTTTTATCAGGATTGTAGGTAGCAAATCACATATTCACACACGTCTCACGCGCGCAGTAACAGCAAGTCAAGCTAAACGTGCCTTAATATGAGTCAACATACCCCATCTCTAAATACGTTTAATTTCAGTCATTTTATTACAATAAATTACTGTTGTTACTCAAAATAACATGTTACATAGTAACAGAAACTTATTTTTTAACTAATAATAGTAATAATACGTCACTTTGATTTACTTCTCAAGCTGAAGAATATTAATACAATATTTTAAAACGCTCGAAAACTTGCCACTTCTTGAATTAGAGTTTTCTCTTTTTTTTTATTATAATACTTGTTTGATCTAAATAAAACTTAGGGAAAAGTACTTATGTCATACAAAAAATATTTTGTGATAACTTTTCCATTATTTCTTTCGTCATAAATACATACACTGAAAAAAATCCATGTACTTTTACATGGAAATTACATGTTTGAAATCGGACAATTTATCTAATTTATTACTGTAATTTTTTTCCCAGATTTTTTAAAGTGAAAGTACATATTAATGGTAAAATATAGGTGAAATTACTATTTTTATGTAAAAATCACTTGTAGTTTTAAATTTAGCGGTATTTTCACAACGATGAACGAAGAGAAAACAGTTTTATTTCATGAAAAATTACATATAAACTGCAATTTTCAATATAAGTAGTAATATTGCATGATTATGCTGGGTCGGAAAAAACCCAGCATAATCATGTAATTTCACACAAATATTTTTTTCAGTGTAAACAAAACGCATTACTAACTTGTCCCTTGTGCCAACGAGTCCCGGTTTCCCTTACGACAAACATGAGAAATTATTTATTGTTATAGCGATGAAAAATTCATGCTTTTATGTGATGATTCCTATATTTTATGTGTCGCCGGGTCTGCAGCGTTAGACGCAACAACGACACCTGGAAAAGTCATAACCACTTTCCCGCGTGGGCATCAGGTTCGTTGTAACATTATCAAGTTGAAAGTGCCAAGCGAGTACGTCAACATTCCGCGACAAGTTTCAAGAGAATTGCACGATTCCTCGTTATAGAGCTTAAACAGAAGGCTAGAGGAAAAGCGCGAGCGGTGCAGTCATAAATAGAGAAAATTGCGCTTCACGCGACACCGCGCGAATAAGTAATCTGCTCCTGCGATTATCCCCGTGAGCTAGGTGGAATATCAATTGCGGACGTTCACAGGCAAATATTCAGATTTAAAAGTTGAGCTCAAATGTCTCAATATCTGGACTTGTGAAATAAAATATGCCGTAAACATGACGCGTTTCTATTAAAAAAAAAAGAAGAATAAAGAATTATGCGCCGGTCTAGGATACAATATGTTATAAAGGAAAATAAAAATTCCCCTGTAATATATATTCGCCTTTGGAAAATTTCATAAAATACGGCCGGTATACGGCGGTATTTTCTGAAAAGATTAATAGCACAGATTCGACAGATAGAGATTTCTATTCCGAGAAAAACCTGCCTTTCTGCGGTGTCGAAAGGTGCACGAGACAAATGGCAGATACATGGCTATGATCGTCATAGTTTTCACGAAGTGCAGCTCGTAAAGACGCCGGCGACTATCTTGACGCTTTCCTTCTCAAACTTCACTTCTTCATCATTTCTCCCTCACTTTATTACTTCAAAAAGTAATAACTCAAAGAAATCTGGCTAATGTCTTGCGTTTTAGTATACAATTTTTCAAGTGTGAACGTTTTTGTCAGTAGTAAAATAACAGTAAAGAGCGCGTCAAAAATCCTATTCTAATTTGTGTGTTCATAAATAACTCGAATATTTGTTCACATAAGAGATCACGTATGTGTCTAATAGAAATCATTGAAAAAAATTTAGCATATGTTTCTGTTAAAGAACGATATGTTTCAAAAATTGTATAATATATCTTTTATATCTTATAAATAACGCTTTTTCACCTCCTTCTGTAAACGACTAAAAAATACAAAGCTTTTAACACTACTGATTAGTATGACGTGTTAGCCGTTATAATTGACACTAGAGCATGTTAACGCGCGCAGATAACGGGATTGTAGTGATAGTGATAGCATTTTCGTCCTCATAGCGCAAAGCGTGTGTTTATGGGGCACAATAGTCTTTGCACCATAACGCCACTGAGATCGATCTTTGCACGTCAGGATATCATTCATAAACAGCGTATGCTATAGTAATATAGACAATGCAGTGTTGTCGAAACGCGATCGATAAATCGCAGCTGAGAACGAGCACAACACAAAATTCAGAATTAAAACAAAAAGTGAAAGTCACCGATCAATTAAAATCGCTTTTAATTAAATTGCAGTCTACATATGTATATGTGTATGTGGACAATATGCGCTCATATAAATGCCGTAAATTTCCTATCGAATTTTAATTATCCGATAATGAACACACAATCCGCGCAGTTGCCCGGCGCATATTGTTACATGAAGCTTACGCGCCAAATTGTTGATTTAATTAACTACTAGAATTAACTATTAAACCGTGAACAGTACATGGGGGCATCGATGCTTCAGTTACTTTTGCTACGTCGTTAACCAAGAGCCCAATTATAAGATAAATGTAAATGCCGGGAATGACGTACACACGAATTGACGTCAAGATCAATCTTAATGCGAATATTATTGGCAATTAAAAAATGCGAAATTAATCATTCTGCTATGCTGTTCTGATAATTTATCAAACACTTATTTACTTGTAATCATCCTGAAATCAATATCTTTTTATTAAGAGTTCAATTGAACGTCATTTTATAATAATTCTCTGCACTCATATACGCAATAAGAATTTAATTTGCATTAATTACTGCCATATAGCGTTGCATTTCGATTATCATCGCAACTGTTTGCAATCGTTCTTACCGGTAAGTTTCTTATATTAACGCAGAGACGACGTCGACGATTGTAAATGAGATTTTAAGGATTCAATTATTCAGAAAGATACTTAAAAACAAAAGACAAATTTCGTCTGACCGCGTCGAAAGCTAAGTAAAATTGCTTTCGAAATTGCGTGAGTGTTCGCGCGTTTCTGCTATCCGTGCAATAAGTCAGATAAATGTAACATAATTTTATGCGGAAGTTAATGTTAAATATATCAGAAAAGTTATTTCAATTGATGAATTGAGCAAATTGCAATATAATGATTGACTATTTCATGTAATTAGATTAGTATAATATCGCATACAACATCATTAAAGAGGAAAACACAAAGCGTTTCAAAGCCATACATAATTTGCAACAGTAATTAATCACTTCGTGGATTATTTAGAGTAAATTTATTATGTATGAATTATATCGTTAATATAGAATTAATACTGATGATAACAAACAGAAGGAAATTTTTATTTATTCTATTGATATCAAATAATATGTCATTATTTAAGTATTTATTTATTACCCGATTGAATATGGACTCGTACACTTTTACATTTATTTTTCTTGAGTACGCGTGTATCATAGAGAATAGCAGTAGGTTTATGAAAAATACGAACCTGGATTTAAAAATGCATCATTTCGCCGACAGATGCTTTATCATTAATCTCGCTTGATTCAAGCAGCATCTTTACTATAGTAGACTCTATGTGACTTTATACAAGTTTTCAGTAAACGGAATTAGCATATTAAATGAATTAGCGACTCTGAACGCGTGTCTTACGAGAATCCGATTATCTCATTAGAGAGACGCATCTCCTTTAAAAGAAAATCGGGGTCATTTATCGAGATATAGTCGGCAATTATCGAGTGCCTTTATATAGACGGATCCAAAAATAAAAAAAGGAGGAACTGTGTAAAGCGACGCATGTCGCTTATACGTCGCGATACGCTTGTGTACTTGCAATTAGTTAGATAACTAGAATAACCGATGTCCGATCGTAAAAAACCATAGCGAAAATGTACGTTAATAGATGTTGGGATTGTGCTACTAAGAAAAAGATATTCTCTTAAACTCGAGAGATTATTATATGTAAAGACTAACGCTGGTCTGGAAAAACACCACAGTAGTTTCAGAAAGGAAAGAGAGTGTAAGAAAGCCCTTTAAAACATTAATCGTTTCTCACAATTTCCGTCGTAAAAGTTTTTTGTTTAATCAATTAATCTGTGTAATTAATTATAGCTGAAATTACTGCGCGCGCGTTCTGTCGCCAAATAGAAAGTTATGAGAATTATTGTAAATGGCTTTTTCTCATTAATCTATTATTACATTAATTAAGATTAATCGGAATAATTATGATGTATGAATGTTACTACAATGTTTTAAGATTATTTATGTCATTCTCAAATATTTGAGAATATAATAAAAAAGTAAATATGACACGTATACATAATTGTGCAGAAAATATGTGCTAAAAACGGATTAATTAGTAAATCAATATATTAGAATATATAAAGAGCGATAAAACAAGTTTAATACTTTTAGTAAGAGATTGCAAGTCTCGTTAAATCGTCATCGTATTTTCATAATGATCTCGCGAATATATCGGGTCAAACTGTATATAAAGTGGCCTGATACGCACACACATACACATGCAAGCGAAACACGATTACTTTTTACTCTCGAGATAAAAGAAGGGTCGGTCGCTTGAGACAATCGACCCTGATCGTCACTCGATCGCGAACGAATATTAACACTACGCACACATCTAACGCTCCTGTCTCTCTTCTTAACTTCGTAGGGTCCAAAGATGCCGTTATCGGAGTTTCGCAAGAAAAAATTACTCTTCGTCTTCAACGCTTTCTTCGGTAAGTATACTACCGCATACAATTAAAATGCACGATATTAATTTTAACTGGATATATTAATTTGCATTAACAGCAATATTCTGTTATCAACGACGATCGTGTAAATAAAGTTGCTATAATTTCGCTGAATCAATTTCACTAAAAATAAATAAAACTCTGTAATATTTATAAAAAAAAAATTAGAGGTCTATCGATCGTTGTGAAAGCTGGATATTAAATGAAGGCAAATAATAACGGCGATAAAGCTGTCTCAAGCATAGTATAAGGATGGTATTTTTAGCTTTTCAAGCCTGACTTTACGCCATTCATCCATTACGAGACTTCAGTCATCCCTTTCTCGCGAGTGTGTTTATATTTCCCGTAATGATGAAATGGATAAAAATGTGTTCTATCCTTTTATAAAGTTATTTTACTCGCAATGTAGAAAGCTGATGATAGAAAACTATTGCATTAATTTAGTTTGGTAAATTTTATTTTAACTTGTAGCATTTTTGGTACTGGGATTTTTCTTTGCCACACGATTTAGTCCACGTTACTATAGACAAACGCGCGCTTGACAACGACAGCGAACGGTTTCCCTGACATTTCGAGATAACATTTATCGTCCCCGCAGCGCTCGTTGGGCGAAAATCTCTCTCGTCGCCCGTCGTTCCGTACATCTCGACGAAACAAATCCTCATCGAGCGCTAACGTAACGAACGAGGTGTCGCTTCCTCCTTGATGGCCTTTCCGCCGTTCCCCTTCGTAACCCCACCATCCGCTCGCATTTTCGCCGGAGGATTCTCTTGATTCTCTCTCTTAACGGCCCTATTTCATTCGCGCTCCCTTTTTCGCGCTCTTCGCGAAAAGCTGCGCGAGCCGTATCGTTTCGACACGAATGAAATACGGAGTGCGCTCGAAGGGTCGTCCTCGCGGTCTCTCCCACGACTCTTTTTGAGGGGATCGAGGTTGTGCGCGCGAGCGTGCAGTCTCCATGTGGCACCTATGTGTCGATCCATTCAGATAAGAACAAGGCAGGATATGTATACGCCTATTTACGAACTGTGAAGAAGATAAACAATGGACGCCGTCGGGTCCGGTTAAGGGGTCGCTTCGCCACATATGATGTGTGCACGTGTTCTAATTCCCTCGGGTGTGCGTAGAAGTGAGTGGTTCTAACGTAGAGAGAGTCGTTTTAAGAGGGCCTAGGGCTACTTTTCTCTCTTTCGAGATCTCCGTATCGCACCGGATGTAATAAAGCGGAATCACGTTTGATATTAAATAAAATAAAGTAGAACTATGTTTGATGTTAAATAGAATTTCCATTTATTTTACCATAAAGTTGTAAGAGAATTGCTCAATCACCGAACCAAAATAACGCTTTTTGTTTGCGTATTTGAATTGGAAATAATGTGCGAAGGGTGAAAAAGTTATATGAGATAGTTTTCACATTAAAATGAAACATTTTACGATCGTCAATTTTAAGGCTGCGTTAAAAATAATCCTTCTAAATCAATGGTAAATGTCCTAAGGCCAGCTCAGCGAGGACAGAAACCTCGCGTAGAGCAAAAGGGCAAAAGCTGGCTTGATCTCGATGTTCAGTACGCATAGAGACTGCGAAAGCACGGCTTATCGATCCTTTTGGCTTGAAGAGTTCAGCAAGAGGTGTCAGAAAAGTTGTATCAGAATTTCAGCCTATTCGACCGAAAGTCATTTCCCATTGATTTAGTATGGGCCGGGTTCTGTAATAATGAGCACCAGTGGTTTTTTCACTGCCTGTTTTTCGTTTGGTCTAAACTCAATACTGAACTAGAATAGATCCGTTTGCGAATAATCCCTAAATCACATGTAAGCACACAGTCATACACCACCGATTACAAATCATAATATTCACATAGCGTTATAACTCCCGAGAGATGCTCTATGAGCCCACAGCGATGCAATGTATCTGTAACCTAAATAAGCTTGTTTATTGGCTTTGGTGAACAAAAATTGTCACTGCAAATTGGCAAAATAAACATGTGGGGTTTTTTGTCGATTTTTCGTTTATCTATAAATACGATATCACGTTTAATCAAACCTTTATTATATACTAGACATCACAGACGCGCGTTAGTAAGCGCAACAAGAGAACCAATCGGCATCGCGGAAAAGCAACAATATTTCGATAGATTCGAGTATCGATGACATGCCCTTTTTAGAAGAGAGAAGGATTTATATTTTTTTTGCGTTTGGCAGTTATCGCGCTTTTTTTCACATCTGAGAAAATTTAAATGTTCCTCGACACAGCTTCGCGAGCTTCATGCATCCTACTTACGGGGCTTAATAGACGAAAGGCTCTACCTCGTGGACGCATTTCAATGTATAATGCACATGTTTTTATGACGACACATAATGTAAAAATGCCGCGTACAAAGCAGAGTCACGTAGGGGGCGGAATCCCGCGAGTGTGCGTATACGTGTGCGCGTGTATTACACGTGTGGATGACGCCAGTGTGCGTGTACATGAGCGACATAGTGCGCCGCACGTAGCGCGGATCATGGAGGTCACAGGCGTGCATACGCCTCGCAGCCCTCATTAACCCCTCGTTTTCTTCTCCTCTTTCACCACCGCCGATTGGCCGCTAAACATATCCCATGATCGCTTCTGCGGGACTGACAGATTATTTCACCTTAACTTAGGCGCGATTGGCGCGAAGGGGCCTACGGGATAGAGTTGCCGTAATGCATTTTTAGTGAACATTTGTTCTGTTGTTTTTGAATTTGCAGGATTATATATCATCTCGAAATCTCATTTGCATCATTAATAGTTATTACCACCGCACTAGTTGACGACTCGAAATATCATCTGACGATAACTGACAATTTATCTCTGATAACATCGTGACACTAGAAAGAATTCGTTCGCGTAAAAAAAGCGTGAATACGTTATCCATCTATTATATCCACTACCCTGTTATCAAAATCAGAGCGGGGTCCTATATGCGGCAATCCGATTAATTGATTTTTAATCTGTCCGCGAGTTCAGAGTTTTTGCAACAAGTTGTACCATTAAAGACACCGCTGCACCGGCTGCGTTCGGACGTCGGTATTAATTATTTCATCGTGACCTCAGTTTGTCAACCGTGCTCGACGGAATACCGGGGAGACAATAAATTCTACCTCGTTGAATCGTAATCGACGCTTAACAGGATTCCAACTACGGGAGTCAGGAAAGGGTGAAACGGAGGGTAGCTTCCTCTATTCTACAGTGAAACGGAATTAATAAACGACAAGCCACGGACGGAAACCGCGCGAAAACGAATAAGCCTGCGGTGGAAGTGGGTCATCTTCAGAAAACTAACGATATCCGATCGTAGCCAAGCGGGACCAAAATCGAGTGGCATGATCGTTCATCTTGTCCTTTAAGTGAGAAAATGTACGATGTATCTCGGGAATGTTAGCGACAGCTGGAGCAGCATTTTATTCGAAATAATAAATAGCTTCACAAAAGAATTCGATGAGCGGAATTACGCTAGATAATTGAATTTTCGATCAAATCATAAATTTAAATGAACAAACAGTTTTGACAATTAGATAATAACGATAAAGTTTTATTGTTATTTTTTTTCCAGATGTTAATCAAAGTGGTACCATCGATATAAAGGATTTCGATCTTGCCGTGCAAGTAAGCATACGTTGAATTATTTCCTCCCCCGTTATTAGATATGTTTTTATTAAGAATAAAAATATCGAATCTATATAAATAGAAATAAAACAAATCTGACTTACAGAGCGTTTTAGAATCAAACAGATTTAACCGCGACAAATTCAAACATGATCAATTACCTACCTCTTTTTCATCTGTGTCGTTCGCGCTCATCAATCGGGAGTATTAAAGAATTTTAGCTAATTTGCGTTTATTTCTTTTTCGTATTACAGCGAATCTGCAACTCCAGGCATTGGAAACCGGACGATGCCACGTCGCAACACATCAAAGATACTTTAACTAAAGTTTGGGAAGGCCTGAAACAACGGGCCGATGCCGATCAAGACGGACAGGTATAATATTTAAATTATTCCTCACTATTTTAACGCTATTTTCACGATAGAATCATATTATGATTTATCGTACTTTAAGGTATATTTCTTTCTCATATTTTATATTCTTTGAAATAACGTCCTAAATTTTTAGCATGCCTCCGTTCCACTTTCTACATTTATCGATTTTTAAAACGTTTTTCTATTCACAATTTTAAAAATAACCTCGCGGCTATTTGCTTATATATTTGTATTTTATTTCTAAAAGAATATTTTGCCACGAAGTGTCTAACGTGATTACACGAGATTATTGAGAAAGCCGGAACACCTCTGCGAAACCGGAAAACCGAATTTTAGAAACATAAGAATATATCGAACGATACTCATCACTTCATGGGTTCTTTTTCCTCTCAAAATCGATTGTCGCGTGTAATTTCATGCTTGCATGAAACATTTAGGTCCACGTCAATTAATGACTTATTTAAAGTGTCGCACAATCTACGACGATAAAAAGGAAAAGGGCTCGAGGTAAACCGTATTATAAGTATTGTTATGAGAGCCCGTTGAACGTTTTCAAGAAAAGCTTAGAGGATCGTAGGCGATATTATGTGCCAAAGTAATGGGAGGTTAACTCATGGAACGCTGCGAAAGTTAAATGCGATTCCTCGTCGCAGAATAATGTAATTGTTAGGATCAATGACAGTGATAGTGAAACAGCTGAGGGTTCTTCCAAAGAACACTCTGGCGTTCGCGCTGCTTTAAAAATATTTTTGCTCTCATTGTGCGCCTTAAATTGTGAGAAAGCGTCATACATGTCTTTAATCAATTTTTCCATATATATTTGACTTAATTCTTCTCCACCCATCTTTCGTTTATTCTGGAATTGACGAAGAGGGGGACAATGACAACGAAACAAATGATAAAGATGCAGACATTTCGCTCAGTGTCATTGAATGCGTCTCGAAACCGTCCGACGTACTTTGCGACTTACGGTTAAAATTTAAAAATCTTATTATACAGGCTGATACGGGGAAGCATAGACATAGTTCGCCGATCAGAAGCAAATATGTGTACGATGTTAAGAGTTTCGTATTTTTCAGATCAGTCGAGATGAGTGGTATTCCATGTGGGAGGAGTACGCGAAAGATCCAGCGCACGCACTCGAGTGGCAACAAACGTACATGAACTTCATGTTCGATTTGGAGGATTCTTCCGGTAAGTCTTGAAAGCACGTGCTTGTTCCTCGTAAATACGTTTATATCCCACATACGCGCGCGTGACAGTAATTTATTATGCATTTGCGATCGCCACACTTATAATAAAAAATAGCCTTAGCTGTCTTTTTTAACGTCTACAGAAAAGTAAGTTAAATATTTTAAATTTACTTACACGTAGCAGTGCCGAATTGCTATACGTGTGGAACCAATGACAAAAGTCCAGTTTCTTCTCACGAGAGTCCCCATCAACTACTCGTGGGATGCGGTTTGAAATATAAAATTTCCTGTGATCAGGTGGACTCGAACCCAATTTCTCGAGGTTACGAGTCTGGCACTTCACCAGATCACATTGCCACTCTAAAATAAAAATATAAAAAAAAATTTTTTTTACATTAGCCGTACGTGAACCGGTGTCCTATGGAACACTAACCCAAAACATTTTAGTCGCTGAGCCATGACCAGCTTAGATGCTGCGTTGACGCAGCAGAAGAAATCCGTAATAAGAATATAAATTACGGAATAATTTACCTTTTTAACTTATGTGAACCTGGCCTTACGGGTACATACAAACGATTCCGAAACAGCACCCGCTTGCGGATTTGAAATTTCTCTAAAGGCAAAGTTAGCTCTTACCCCTATTTTGTAATTTTAAAGGTATAATCAGGGTAATTTTAAAAGTATACAAACAAAAATTGGCTGACATTTCCGTCTATGATAATCCGCCCACATCCGACTTACAGTCTTCTAAGGATATCGCACCGATATGCCGACAAGGCAAAAGTGGAACGAAAGTAGAAACATTCGCCAATTATATAGATCTGAAACTGGACTTTGGATCTGACTTGTCAGACGTCTTATAAGACTTTAGACGTTTATATTTTGTCAATCTGTTTCCTGTTGCTTTGATTAACTGTAATACGGTATATTTTTGGAACGTTATAAAAATTAATGAGCCAATCGTGGATTAAAAATAAATGACGGTTTTGGCCGGGGACGAGGATTAATAAGTTTATAAATAGTAATTAAGCGTCCCTTCCTTTCATTATCCCGCATCCATTAATACTAATAACATAGGTTGCCTCGCCCGACAAAAATATCAGTTTATCTTCGGTTCCTTATTATCAGTTCCTTATACAGTTAGTTTAAATACATGAAACGTGGATAGCGTCAAATTCAAGTTAAATACGGTCTATGTTGTTAGGTGATGGATCGATCGACGAGACTGAATTCAGCAAGGTGTGTAGCAGTCACGGCGTCGAGGAGGCCGAGGCACGTGAGGCGTTCAAGAAATTGGGGGTGGTGAGTATCAATCAAGCGGAGAAGAAAGATAAGTAACGATAAAAAAAGAGAGGAAAAAAAAGACGACGTTACAGCGGCGGTGACGAGTTTCACGAAACTGTTTATTCTCTCTGCAGGGTAAGGAGGTAACTCGTGAGAAATTTGCCGATTTGTGGAAACAATACTTCTGCTCCGACGACCCAAGCGTACCTGGAAACTTTATATTTGGAAAGACTTCTTTTTAATTCCGCCACCCTACGAGATTAAAGGCGCGCATATACACACATACATACATATATTTTACGACAGATTATTATTTTATGCAAACGTATGAGTTAATGAGATAGACGCAATTCTGTAATCTAATAGCCAAAATTCTATTTCATTTACTACTCTCCTGTGTAATTATCCTGTGTAATCAAGATGATGAATATAATTATAATTAAACGATCGAAAGAACTTTGCGTATACCTTCCGCTCTTTATTATCGCTCTCTTACACTCAGCAACGTGTTTAAATTCCATTTACTACGGTAAAATAATTTCGGCCAAATAGTAAAATTTCTTTACGTGAAATGATAATGATTTGTATTTTTAATTTTATTTACCACGTTATCGGATATTTTTATTGTAGATATCCGCTAACGATTGGTACGCAACAAAGGAAAGTTAACAAAATTAAATAAATAAAACGGGCAGTTTTTTTCTTTCGTTGCTGTTTTATGTAATTTGTTATTTTTTGACGACTACAACAATTTTGTGTAACAACAAATACTGCTGATTGGCTTTATTTTAAATGTTTGACATGGTCAAAATATTCTGAGAAATTTATAAGTAAAGATACATTGGTTTCTTCGATTGCAAAGTTTTCTATATGTTAAATATTTCACAATAAGTGTTAGGATTAAGTATCTATCTTTACAGCGCATATCGATCCATCATCGAGGAGCTAATTATGCTTCATAGTGTGTAAATAAATGTCCTTGCGAATTATAAAAGTGATTATACGAAAGTGATTATACGAAACAAAGAAAGGCGGACAGTAATCGATGATTTCATTGCATTGTATTTGCGATGCGTTCAATTCTTTCTTCGTTTCGCGTATTAAAACAGCGTAATAATAAGATTGGGAGATCAATTATAAAATCCGTAAAAGTTTGCTTTTCTTTTTCCGCTAATCTCATTTTGAGCGTACGTCGAATTGAACAATTTGGATAATTTGCTGAACTGCATTTTATTAGCATTTAACGCTAAAAATAGAAAGAGAGAGGAAAAAGAACGAGGCTTCTTCCGGCCTGTGAAAAATATTTTGAGAATCGAAAAGCACCAAACACATGCACCTCTTGCAATAATGGTATTTTTTTTTAAGCCGATCACGATGTACTTACATTCGTTTTATCGATAGTCATCCTTTGCCAATTTTCTCTATACTTCTGTACAGAGTGAGACGTTTTTATTAATTTAAAACCCTTTATCTCTCCCTCGTTAGTATCTTTGTATCTATTCGAAGCTACGGTTTTTTGCCTAAGAGAAAATTTTAATTCCTACGGAAATCTCATCGTGTGCGCACAATATCCGAAAAAAGAAGAAAACGTAAAAGCAGATCGATAAACACAGCTACTTGATTAAGGACCATTCACCATGTAATGATACGCGTTGCATTGTAAATCGCATCGCGTATATTGGAATGGCGATTAAATTGGCAATTAAATAGCGCTATATTAACGCTTTACCATCCATTACTATCTTATTGTATTACAAATTTGTGACGGAAATTGCGTTGTGTAACAGAAATCATTGTTTGTGTCATTGTATTATGTTATATATAACTATACGAATGCATTCACATCTCAAACATGTGAAATTAACGATAGGTGTTTTTTGGAAATTAAAATGGTTATGTCGTAACAATGGGTGTGTATCCTACTTATAAAAGCAACTGAATCGCTTATGGGAAAAGTAGTCATCTAATTTGCATATCCCAATGTTGATTTCTGTCATCAGAAAACATTTTGTACGGCTGACAACATTAGAAAAATTGTATTATTTAGATTCTCCTTAATTATTGATCACTGCCGCTATAGAGAGACAAACACAACATACATATATCTAAATAGCAGTATGTTCGATTCTACCAAGTGTGTAAATAATGTTGAATGATACGAATATTTTCTGTACCTGTTAGAGAAAGTGGATGTACTGATAATAACCGCAGAATTATCGTCCGCTATAAGTCACATAACAATAATAAATCAATCATTAAATAAACATACGATAATGCGGCTGTTAAGATATTCCTTTCATGACACCAAAGTCTTAAAAATTAACTGATTTTTTAGTACGAGAAAGTTAAAATGCATATCTTTACGCCAGAAAAAAATTAAACCACATTACCGAACATATAAAGAAGAATTATAACTTTGAAAATTCGATATTTTATATGTGACGTTATCGAAAAAGTCTATTTTTCACATTTCAATGTAATAATTTGTTTATCAAATATGTTAAGATATTAAATATTAACTGCGTTACATATTCGCTAAACTCTATACTTTTGATAGTGCCGATAAAAATACAGTCACCGAATATTTAAACAAAATATTTATGTTAAAAGTTGACTTGAAATGTGGTTTATAGATGAATATTTTTAATGGCGACTTTCAAGGAATTATTTGGCAACGCTGCAAACTGTGCGCTCATGTCACACTTCAGTTCATCACATACGGTTTATTATCAACTTTTATTTTCACAAATTGTCCCTTATTTTTGCCCACATTACTCCTCACTTTATGTTTCTTATCACTCATTATTATTATAAAATCTCTCTTTAATAAAAAGAAAATGTCACAATATTCTTTGATTAATGAAATTGACACTTACATTGACACTTTTGTTATCAACTTCACATTTTACAATCGGCGCCCTGAAAAGCGCAGCGTTGCCATATTGTTCTGACAGTAAAATTTACCGAAAAATGAAAAATTTCTAAATACACATAATATTTTCACTTTTCTTATAATTAAACATAATAATCAATTATAACTTGATTTTATATAAGTTTAATGCAATATACAAGAGTTTGCTGAGCCCCTGCTTAAGCGCCTACAAAATACGCTCCTCTGTGAAAGGAATACCTTAAACTAGAAAGAAATACAATATGAGTGTAGTGAAATATATGCCGTCAATTGAAAACACGGATCAAACGACACGTTCAATTTTAACAAAACAATTTACAATTAAAGTGCACATTTTCGTTCATAATTAGGTACATATAAAATGTTTAAAATAAATGTTTTAATGTATTTCACTTTTGTTCGACGATTTCGATTAGCCATTACATGCGACAAGGTGGTAACAACACATGTTGGCGAGTTTTTACTACATAATTTTCAACTTTTAACAATAACTTTTTTTTCAACACAAATTAGAGCTTGTGGCTGTCGTTTCTCTCATATTCCAATCTTAATCCGATAATTTTATGAGCCATCTGATAATTCTATGAATTACGATCCACTTTGAAGCGAATTATTATTTATACATTCTAAAGAAAAATTAAAGTATCTTTTAAACTTTAAACTGTGCTTGTAGTAATGTATATGATTTCTTTTTCAAAGAAGTATGTCGTGTTAACGTGTAATAAACATGTATACGTAATATTGCTGTTCCTACACAAGAATGCATGTGTAAATATATTATAGGGTGTAACAAAATAATGGGAACATACTTTGTGTGCTTGTAGGGGGGGTTGAGAACAAAAAAGGCAATTTCAATGCCGTGTAGCATGAAAACGAGGCTTTAGCGGACATGCATTCCTATACTCAAATTACTTATATCAACTTTCCCTACAAGCACACGTCTCTCCCCATCTTTTTGTTACACCCTTTATAAATATCACATTATGTCTTTATATCTAACATCGACAAAAAATATAAAACATAATATACATATATAAATATATATATTTAGATATATTTATATAAATAATATATATACGTGATACGTGTGTGTGTGTGCGTGCGTGCGTGCGTGGCCGGTGCGTGAGTGCGTGGGTGCGTGCGCGCGAGCATGTTTTCAAATTGAATTAGTACGCAATTTGGTTAGTGAGTACTAACACGTGCTACTACCTGATGGTGAGTGAATGCATTTTGCTATATTCATAACACTAATTTATTCATTTATTTCAATTGTAATAATTATTTACGTTTTATATACGAATGTGTCGAAAATAGTAAAAAAAGAGATCCCTAAAAAATATTTATGCATTAATATTATAGTCCCCAGAAATAAATTCAACGAGTAATATTATTATTTCTTCGCTTTTCAGAGTATCATTTTTCTCGGACAAAACCTTGTATAAAGATATTTCATCTTATATTTTCGATTATTTTTACACAAGGAAATATATCTTTTTCTACTGTTTATATATAGTAGATGCAATAGAGGAATAATTGTGATTTATATATTAGTGTCGCTTAACTAAATGTAAGTTTGCTATTAGTTTTTGTTACATTTATTTCATAATTTATTGTATGTACTGAATCAGATATCATAAGACGTCGTATAAATTACATGAGTATATAAATATGTAGGAAAAAACGGATAGGCTTTTTTTTGCTCATCTATATTATTTCAGTATGCTGCTGTATTATAGTCATAATCCAAAGAAGTGCTTGAAGAAACCCTAAGAGTTTTACTGATTTTATGCACGTCAACAATATCATTATCATAAGTTTTAGGAGCCGGCCTATCAAGAACTTTGGGAGTTTGTAATAAACAAGTGCTATCTCTGAAGTAGACAATTTGCATTATCTGAGCATTTGATTTGCGCATAAACCAATAACCACTTGAATGCAGATTCAAACTGCTCGGCAGTCGGGTTGTTGTTGTGTCCACCGCGATCGATCTAATAGCTGAGAAGAAGAGCTCGACGTGATCTTGAGAGAGTTTGTATGTCAGCAAATACTCTAAGAGTGCAGTTTCTGACGTTGACCATTTATCGAATGTAGCAACATTTTCTAAGGCCCTCATGATACCAAAGAAATCCATTCTTCGTTTTGACTCAAAAATCGGTTTATTACCATCTTTAAGTGTACTGATGAAAGTCTTGTATAACTGAATATTTGATCGGATTTTAGCTACGTTGTTTTTATTTATGGATTGTTTACTGGAAACTTTAGCCACTTTTTGTCGAGAATTCAGATCAAAACAATTATTCATAATGAGACAAAATTTTTGTGGCTTTAGATTCAACAAATTCGGGATGTTTTACATCACATCTAAAAAAATGGAGCGTGTGAGCTGTACTCGCGCTGAATGTCTGTGTTGCTAATTTAACTTTCATCTTTTCCTGGGCCCAGTTTAAATGACGTTTTCTAATTTTTGTGGCTGCATGTAGTCCGTACTTTTCTTACAAGGGCCTGAAAACATTTCCATTCTATAGCATTTCCTTCACTATCGTACTGAACTTTTCTTGTAGCTAACGCATTCCGAACTAGTTTAATTATCATGGCAGGCATTAATTATTAAAAAAATAGGCTCTTTGGTAACAGGATGCAAAAAATGCATGCTCGCTTTTTCTGTAAAATTAAATTCTGCACCTAGCTTCTTAGCCATCTTTACATTACTCTGTGCTCCATCGAATGTCAGTGAAACTACGTTGATTCCAATATCATGCAAACTCGTTAAACATTGTGATACAAGCCATGCTCTTTCTTCTCCATTTAAACTATTAATAAAATAATAGCCCATAGGAATTTTCCAATGCTCATTAAACAAACAATCATCACTATCATGGCTTGGGTTGCCATTACAGTGCTTTTCTTTTTATCGCTACTATCATTAGCATCGCTAACAAAACCGGTAATTTTGTTCCATTCCATCGTAAGTGCTTTCTAATGGCTATATCATCAACTGTAACACTACATAATAAAGTTTTTTTCTTTTTCTGAGCTAGTAGCAGCTTTCCTTCAAGTACTTGCAATGCTGGTTTAGATAATACTATCAACAGACGTAAACCATTTTCGAACAGTGGAAGGATGAGGTAGAGAGAGAGAGAGAGAAAATACTTTTTGTATATATGCATAAGCCTTTGGTGACAAAAATAGAAGAGTTGATGCAAAGGTTCGTAGTTGTAATGTGAATTCTAAGATTTTTTTTTTCTTTGAAATGATTTGTTTAAACAAGGCCTCAGCTACGGGATCCATCGTAGACTAAAGGAAATAAATAATATATAATAAATTAATTTCTAAGTAAATGAAAAATGCAGTAAAATTGATCTATGCTATGTCACACCAAGATTTAGCCAAAGCTGACATTGCAGATTTCTCCTTTTATAAATATAGAGTCCATTGCAAATAATCGCAGTATAGAAAATTTTTTAATAAAATGAAATAAAATTTGATATTAGTATTTTAAATAAAATTACAATTGCTGTATGTATAATTACGACATAAGCGAAGATTTATTAAATTCGATGATTAATTTACTAATTTATTTGCTGTGTTTATTTAAGAAAAATGAAAATAATAAACTTACAGTATGTACATTTACAAAATCTAATCTAATATAATCTAATAATTAATCACAATAATTGAAGATCGACGAATATGTGACGCAGTTCACATGAGCAGGAGATTGTAAAATTCAATAATTATTATTAGGCACCAAGATCTGCCGCAGATTACTGCAAGACCGACATTGATTATTCTCATATTTATATCTCATATTTATATAATTAATGTACTAATTTATTCATTGCGTTCATTAACATCCTCTATATCACTTACGTGTAAGAGTTTTAATTCATCTTCCATTATTAAATTATTCTTAAATAAATGTTTTGTCAACAATTTCAAGCTCGAAACCTTCTGTTTCAACCGTCGAACTTTACGCTGTAAGCACTCAATCTTTTTTTCTTTATTTAATAGCTCTTGTTTTGCAGCGTTCCACAAAGCTTTTCCTCGCATTGATGACTCGGAAAGTTCTTCTCATGTAAGATCAGTTAGTCGAATCTTTTTTGCAGCAATAACTTCAGTCAGTGGTGGTTCTTGTTTCCGCCTATAAAACATTATACATACATATTTACAAAATCATATATTATTTAACTCTAATACTACATAAACAAAAATATTCAAAAACTTAAAATAAAATACATAATATACTTACTTATTTGATGTGGCTAACTCTTCAATACTTGATCGCAATGCTGGTTCATTGGTTGGGATATTACTGGTTTGTATAGAAGAAAATTCTGTCGTGTTCAGAATATTTATTGGAGCACTTATACCAAGATTTATAGTTGGTTTAGTCCCTGGTTTCAGAAACCTTCTTCCATTGACTAGCCCATAACGAAAACATTCAGTGTCAAAATGTCTCGAACAAATGGTTGTTGCTTTTCCTATGACTTCTTCCGATTTTCCGATAATATCTAGCCATTGTTGTCGAGCGATAGAGTTTGACGGAAATCTACAATAAAAAAATAACCCAAAATTCACAAAAGTGTCACATGCGTGATACATAACCTAATCTAATAATTGTTTAATCTAATAATATTTGTAGTTACAAACTATTATTATATACTCACCGATGAAACGACAAATCTTGCGATTTGTCTGATCTCTTTTTGCAGATGAAACACGTGAACACTATATAAAGAATGTTTTTTTCAGAATTAATGTACGACGTCAATTGACGATAAACACACTCTTTATAAAACGAAGAAATGGGTTCATCATCTTTGCAATACGTTTCTTACATCCTCTGGGTGGGGATAAAAGCGACCAATAGAAGCATTAGAAAAAGAGAGCAATTGCCTTTACCTTGTTCCCTCTTTGTCTAATTCTCCGGACACTTTTTGAAGGCTTTTATGTAGTGATCGCGCAGTCCATACTTATATGTCGATGGTTGTGACGTGTCACATAATATATCCCAGCAAACGAAAAAAGATTGAAAAGAATTAAAACGGGATTGCCAGGAATTCAATTAAGGACTTTCCGAATTCCATTTTGTCCAAAAAAGGGATTGAAATAGTTTCAATATCATAGAATTCCTTATTTTGGAAAGAATTTGTCTTTTTTGAATCCCATCCAATTCCGACACAAAAACGTAACGAAATGAATACCACTGAATGCCAAGTTAGGGATTGGAAAGTTTCGTCATGAATTCCATTGAATACCATTGATTCCGTTAACGAAATGAATACCATTGAATGCCAAACTAGGAATTAAAAATTTCCGTATTGAATTCAATGGAATTCAATGGAAACTATTTCAATCCCTTTTTTGGACAAAATGGAATTCCTGGCAATCCCGTTTTAATTCTTTTCAATCTTTTTTCATGGTGCTCTTTGTGGTGGCTCCATCTTGTCTGCGTAAAACGAGTCGTGGGAGAGTTCCTTATCCATTTCGGTGGGAAGATTCGAAAACAAGATAATGTAGGAAAATTCAGCGAATAATTCGAACGTCAGTTCGATTTGAGGAGTGTGTAACACAGTGAGTCCATTGCGTGATGAATTATTTAAGAAAACAAAACACGGGCACAGAAATTAGTTAAGTGACGTCTAAAAAAAATTTCATTTGAATGTTAATAACTATGACGGATTAGTGAGCTATTTTGATGGAAATTGTTTACGTCAATAAGTTACTTATCTCCCGTTTGTTCTCAAGTTTCCAAATGTATATCGCGCATCATCCCAACATATCTTTTGGTGAACACGTGTACTTATATAACCTCTAATACCCTAATCTCTTTCTATCGTTCAAGTCACACCGATTTCGCGTATTCACGGGTCCCGGGTATTCTCGCGATGCTTCTGAGAAGCCCATCTCTCTCTTTTTCTCATATCTTATCATATTTCAATCCAGTATGCGATAACTTCACCTGATCAAGTTGATCCCCAGTGCGAGTTATGTCGTATTCCAAGTCGTTATGAGTATGATAATTTGTTTTATTTAAAAATAAATTTTTCTCTTTGGACGTAGTTACATCTATTCGCGCGATTATCCCATCGTCGGAATTAGATGTTTACTTCAGGTTTATCGATAAGTGAGAAGCGTGGAATACTTTGATCTTTCTATCAGGCTAGCTCATCGTAAAGGTGCAGTTAAAATAAGAGTAATGTGAGTAGGATGCTGCTTGTTTGCTGCTTATGTTTGTGCAGTTTGTTATCTTTGTTCCGTTATCAGTGCTATCCAATAGCATAAATTCTTGTGCAATTAATTGTTAATTATGGTCAATGTGTTATTCTTTTTGGGTTAAAAGAATTGAATACTGTAAAGTTCAGTTTTTATAGTCAGTAATTTTCTTTCAATTACAAGACTTAAATACTTGTAAAATTCAGTTTTTATATATTGAACAATATTATATAATAAACCTATTATATATATTAATTTAACTAAATTTGGATTATTAGTATATTAGATAGTTGTTTATAAATATATATAAAATATAAAATTATGTATATTTATATTCTATATATAATTTATAAAATGATTTGATTAGTAATTCATATTTAAATTATAAAAAAAGACAGAGATTACAGTAATGCACTTGAGTAGGATGTAATTTAAAGTAGATTTTTCGAAGTGTCATATATATATAGTATCTACATTTAATATGTGTGATAGTCTTCCTTTGTACATTTTCTGTTATTTGCTTGCTGTTCTTTTATATAATGCTATTATATTAAGCTTGTGTTTTGCAGGTTGGGTGCTAATAATGAGGAAAACTATTCTCTGGAAGTAGAAGAGACAGAAGAATATGCCATGACTTGTCTGGGAGCGTTAGTATTTGCGGATAAACATTTTCGACAATCATCGACCCCGGATGATTTATCTAAGAACCAAGTTGATTCTTTGTCACTTGCGTACGAAGATCTTTTCACCATGCCATATAACATCATACAAGATTACAGTCTTACTATACAACATTTAGATATCAGTAACAACATGTTTAGTAGGTAAGTAAATATCTGACATTAGTGACAGTAAGATTTGTGAAAGAGACAAAGCTATATTTGTTACATGATAATACATTTAGTAAAGTTAAAACGAATTGCTTTGGCATTTCAGAAACTTGCAGTTTTTATCAGAGTTCGACAATTTAAGGTCTGTCAATTTGGATCACAATAAAATAGATGATATCACTGTATTTCCAAATATACCAAACCTCGAGCTTCTTTGGTTGAATCATAACTGTATAAAAAATCTATATCCCTTTATCAAGAATCTCCATAGAAGCGTACCGAACCTTAAATACTTGTCTCTTATGGGAAACGAAGCGGCACCTAGTTACCTTAACGGTGGAGATTTCTGTGATTATATTCGATATAGGTATGAGAAGATATTTCCTTTAATTTCATATTAGATCATAGAAAAATAATTTCTCTTATTTGATTATTTGTCGCAACTATTGCGTTAAACTTCTAAACAGGTTGTACGTGCTATCTTGGTTCCCGCACTTGGTACACTTGGATGACAGAACTGTGACCGAGCAACAACTACTACAAGCTAAGAAACTATTTAGACGATCATTGCTCGAAGACTTTGTTGTAGTACCGGAATGCATTAAGGATCTGCATAATAAAATGGCTGTATGTTCTAAGCCATCAGCATCTGACAAACAAAGAGTACTGAATGGGACAAATTTGATTGTCTGAATAGTATTAAAGCACGGCTCGGAAGAAGTCCTGACAATGCTTTTTCAGCGACGAGATGAGATTATAATATTATGTATTCCAGTAGAAACATGTGCCAATTACAAAAGCAATACACAAAGGCATTTTGTAGTGTTTTCATACAAAATATAACGTATATAAGCGCATTTAATAGTCACTTCTTATAACAGTTATATCAAAGATGCAGCTATACGAACAAATAACTTATCATATTTATAGATATACGTACGATGCATATCAATTTTGTATTGTGTTCCGCTTGCGTATTTATGTATATATATATGTATATATATGTATATACATATACCGGGTGTTTCATTTTAATCGCCCCAGGCAAATATCTCGAAAAATATGAAAGATACGGAAAAACGTTTCAGACAAATTTGTTTGGTTCGAAGGGGGACATAAGATGGTGTCATTGGTTTGACCTTGAGTGAACGTGCCGAGGTCATATGGAGTTCAACTTTGTTTTTTTAAATGGAACTCTTTATTTTTTATTACATGTTCTTGTAGCTTACCTAAAGAGCTTTTCAAAACCCTATATTTGAGTATTTTTTCATGAAGTACTTTTCGAGTTACAAGGCTTGAAAGTTATTGGGTTGCAATTATGTATCCAACAGAATGGTAGTACATTTGAGCATTTGCTGTAAACCATAATTACACAATTTGACTTCGATGTGACCCTACTTATTGACCGCACTCGTGTCCAATTCTCAACTTCCCGCACTTGTTACACAAATAACTATTATCCTGCAGCCAATTAACATGCTTAAAAAATTTGTTGTACGACACATGAAATATTAGCCATTCAAATTGAATCAAATGTGATTTTTGCTCCTATTCACCAAAGTATTTTCTCACCAAAGAATGTTTTCTCCGGTATCTCTATAGTTGTGGGGTAGGAAGAGAGGCTCATCTCTTCTTGTATAACGGTGTAGTACGATATGTATGACCATGGCTCTCTGGAGCATAATCCTCCCAGAGAGAGAGATCTACCTGCGGGAGCTCGTCGCATCTTCTAAGCGGATTTCTGAAATTTACGTAATTAAAAAACGTTTCTCTCTTTCACATACCTTGATTCAAACTAAACGACAAAAATGAGACAGCAATTAAACTTACACAACCAACTAAACTTACAATTCGGAGATTTGTTGAAATCCTGATCTTTGCACATGCTGAATATTGTCTCCGTTGTCGCAGAGTAGTCGCGATATACTTGACTTCCGTAATTCATTCAATTGTTCTGGATATGAAACACATATAAAATGTTTATATTATATATACATATACGATCGGGATTGTCCCGATTGCGCACATTAACAATCGGACATGACAATATTTCCCGATCGGACACATTTATTGGACTCACTCGCAATCAATATCGTAATAATGATATTTATTGTACCTATAGTAAATGCTATTTTCGAGTCTTCCGTTTCGAACCAGTAACGATCACCGATTCGCGTTTGTTTAAACTGTCTTAACATAATGCACAAGAATGTCGGTCCAGCTAGCGCTCCGTTAACATGATTCTCCAAGGATCCACCGACAGTTAGCTCGACGTCATCTGGACTAATGTACAACGTGGCGAGTTTTTGTATATCCTACAATTTTTAAGTTCATTTTTAATTGAAGATGCATCTGTGTAGAGATATTTGTTTTACTCACCGAAAGAGATATATAGTCAGCAAAATCATTGAAAGTTCTCGCTCGTGATAGTCCGCAATATTCGCGATAATCATTGTATGAAGCGAGCCCATGATCGCGATCCCTTTGGATGTCTATCGCTCTTAGGTCAGACCCGAGGATCTTTCCTCTTCTGAACAAGAACTGTGTAATCTACAAGCGACTATTGTTACAGAAACCTTATTTTATTAAATGCCCTAATCAGGGTGACTTCTTTCCTTTGTCTTTGTCTCTGTTGACAATTGTTTTATTTTTACTTTGAATTTGATTTTTCGACCTATAGATACCTCTTTATCGAAAAATACATCGGTATTTTTTAGTGGTTGATATGTGAAACCCCTTGTCAAATCATCTAGATTGTTGCCCTTCTCTATAATGCCAGGTCTGTTAAAGTGATCGCTCAATCTCAGAGCAGCGAAGGAGGATCGATCTTCCAACACTAAGCTGACAAATAAAATTTGTTATTTTAATAATAAAGTTCACGATAAAATTTATATCATGAGTGCTTCATCGTTCATGTTTGACATATGTAACTGCCACTGACAATTTGATCGCACGGTTGTTCTCATATCATAAGAAGATTAATAATAAACTTCCTGCACGGTTCGTCTTTTCTCTTTTTCTCTCGTGAAAAGAAAATGAGCGAAGATGAATCATGTAAGAAGTTCAGCTAAAAAGAACAGGCCTTTTAACGTCAGAACAAATAAAAGATAACTTTGAAGAGTGATATTTTTATTCGAAAATTTGACTTGCGAAATCGTACAAAACTAGGCGACATTGTATCACTATAATTTACATATAACTGACACGATTTATATGTTTAACCCTCACCACCCATCTAGGATCTTTTTTGACCCTATGTATCTAAAGTGGCGATATTTTCTATTTTATGAAAGAATTATTCCGAGTAATTATTTTCATAGCAATATTTTTATTTTATGTTACTTTTGTTATTAATACATAAAAAGTTTATATATTAAAAATTCATTATTTATATCAAAAACTCCTTTTTTCAATATAAAATAAGCAATTATAATAAAAAATGATCTTACTGGTAACTGGGTTATATGAAATTCTAAAGTAGGTGGGCGGTGAGAGTTAATATATAGTCAGCGTATTGAAAATAATATCGAGACGTATTAACAAAAGTTGTTAAATACTTACTTAAGTAAACCAGCTATATTTGAATGAAAATATCTGAAGGCTGCATTCGAGTGTTCGTTTAGCACGTTCCCGTTGATTGTTTCGTCATAATCATTCACGAAATTCTGAGTATTGTAAGTAATTTGGTTAGCATAGACTTGGCTCGTACCTGCAATATACATTAATTATTAATGTTCCGACCTAAATAGCAAAAGTGTATAACTATTGCAAAAAGGTTGAAATTTCTATTTGGTATTTTTAAATCGGATTTGTATTACTTTCAAAATAAACGAAGCTTACATTTTGAGGGTCGGTATGTTCGAATTATCGACTATCGATCGATACATAATAAGGCCTGTTTGTTTTAGTTCAACTTCTTGCACGATTTATCTTTTCTTTTTTTCTTTCCACGTTGGAGAGAAAAAGCGAAAAAATGAACTGTGCAAGAAGTTCAGCTAAATAGAATAAATATATAACCACAGTATAAGCATCTATCTACTTATATTGTATCTACTTATTATACTATCGTTATAGTTCGAACCTAAGAAGATTGGCAGCCATTCGTAATACGTGATGTACTGATGTTCGGCGATAACAATCCGGCGCGTTTCTTGAAATATTGTTTCGTCAATCCAGTGGGGATTCAAACGCGCTAGATAATCAGCAATGCGATTATGTTCCCTGAGCAGCATAATATGTAAGATCGTCAACTGTGTATTTTGATTAGCTCGCATATCACCTAAAAAAAAATTATTATTATTTCTCAATACGTACAATTTTCTTTCAGAAATAATGTATTTTACGCTCGCAAATTGAATTTTGCAAAAAAACACAAAGCGGGCAAACGTATATGTACTTGGGGTTTGGAACGCTCGCGGAAAATAAAGACAATAAAATTATAACAAAAAACGCACGGATACTTTAAATTATTTTCGGAAACGGATCGATCGTTAACAAACTATTTGTTTTCCAACATAATGGATCTTAAAGATTGTCCTCGCACTTGTACATTTTGGCACAAAACGCAGAAATAATTGTTAAGAATTTTACATTTTACATATGCAAGTAGCCGTGGATACTTCGGATTAGACACACAGCACTTATTCTGGATCTCGACTATCAATAAACTATTTTATTTTTACAGTAGGGAATTTTAGAGATTGTCCTCGCACCCGTATATTTTGTTATTTGTTTATTAATATTAAAATGACTTCTTTGTTATAATTTTAATCTTTTTCATATAAGTATATTTCTTTCTGTCATCATTTTTAATTAGGACAAATTTTTAATTTTTGCTCCAATAACGCTCCAAACTACATATTCAGCTACATGTAAAACGCATGTTTATTCTCACCGGCAGCATAGCATGGCTCGAATTCATATACTGTATCGCATATAGCAGTTTTGTTAGGTGCCGATGGTGGAAATTCTCTGTTATGCTTCAATTCCACATTCAGACGACCGCCGAAACCGGCCCGTAAACTAGCGGCAACTTCATCGCTCGATCCATAAACGAGTGAGAGGTCCAGATAGTGAGTGACTATATTTATCTGGAAAATATTGCATATATGTCAACTGCGAATTAATTAATCTTCCGAAAACCTATCCATGCAAGTTATAACTAAACATAAAGCGTTAAAGATTTAGTAATTGATCGCTCATGTACCCTGCGAATAGATGAAAACTATTAGAGATAAATAAAGTTTATGAAATTAAAATATAACAAACAATACTCATCTAGTTTAAAAATATAAATAAGTGAATAAAAATGACGAGAATAACACGGTATCGCAAGTTTCCAACTGTCTACTGTCGCTTAATGTAACGATCTGACGCATTTTAATTTTCTCATTATCACACTCGCGTATGATGAATAATGAATGACAAATAAATCATAAATGAATGAACGAGATGTAAATGTGAAACCTGTTCCGCCGTGTGTGACTTGTACGGAGACAAACATCTACGATCAAGGTCGGTCGTACTACGGACAAAGTTCAGGCACCGTATGGAGGACACGCTATACACCGGATCGTCATCAGGTATCAGTATCGGGAAACATTGGGGCATCGTCGCCAAGTCTGGTGCTATCTGACCGTCAAACGTGCAACATTGTGTGCTGTGCGATTCTACGATTATAATACGGTCGTGGAAAGATAAATTATCGAGATTCAAAGTGGTCACTCATCATCACTGACGAGTGACACATAGCATTGGCATGTAACAAGAAGTGCAAAACGTACTCGATTGAGTCGTGCCATCGATCAAACCCATGTCGTGCGTTATGACCTGTCCGTATTGCATCGCTAACAGAGTCCATACTACGTCGTCGACATCGCTGTTCGGGAACATGGTGTAACTGACGGTCCGAGCCAACGGCAAATCTGTTCCAATGATCGATCCCGACGGTGCTCGAATTCCTGTGTTAAACAAATTTTAAAAGAGACAAAGGATTCAAAAATTATCAAATTTTGCTGCAAAGATAGTCTGCGAAAAAATATCGATATTTATCGACTAAAAAAAGGTATTCTACAACTTGATAGTCGACGCGATTATCAAATTTTAGAAAGTTCACATGTTATTTTCATTATATTATAGATATATTAAAAAGTTATGTATACATAACGAATATATTTCGCACTAGATTTGAAAATGTCGGAAATTAAGTCTAAACTAGTTTTACATAGTTTCATCATATTACGGTTCGACTCGTGCAAAATCGACCAATAAATTTTAACAATTAACATAAATAGGAATATACAAACGCGCATTTCGATTTATAGATCTATAAATTGAAATGCCGATTTGTATATTCCTATTTATGTTTATCGTTAAAATTTATTGACGAAATCTTTCGGTGAAATCTATTTTGCAATTGAAATAAATTTTTTGTAAAAAATGAGACCAGTATTTATCGGTTGCTTCGTAATGTGGTGGATGTAATATAATATATGGTAACGCTATGATGAAATTTTTTTTGGAGAACAATGTCATAACTACAACTTTCCAAATTATCTGAAGAATTTCTAAATTAAAGAACTTTCTAAATTATCTGAAAAACTATTTTTTGTAACACTTTAATTCCTTTTATAATACGGAAAGACATTTCGTCAAAGGTAATAATTTTAAGGAAATTATATTGTAGATGAAGAATTATATATATAAAATTTGTAGAAATCTCGAAACACTTTCTTAGATCCCTCTCTGTATACAGAAAATATTATATCCACACATATGTGTATTAATTATAAAATTTTATCAGAATTTCTACATTATCAATTAAATTAATTTGTATATTAGGCGATACATAAATCATGTTCCAATATGGTGTTTGTACTTCGGTGTGGTAACAAAAATCACATGAGTAAGCAAATAAGTAGGCCTCGAAATCTTTTTCGCAATTAGAAACCACTTGTTTATCGCTTGTGCCAAGCTGACCGTAACAAAATTTAGAACGAAATACCATTGACGCAACAAATCGATATTATCTGATATCACTGATCTAAGCCTTTCTTTATCACTTAAAATTTTTACAGTTTGTTGAATAAAGATACAATGTAATTTTTTTATGTAGCTATTACTTTCACCAAAATAATTAATATGTTGCAAATCTCTTTGTTGTAAACTTCTAGTCTTTTTCACTTTAGAATTTAAAATAAATTTAAAAAGACATTTAACATTTATGAATCATTGTTGTGTACTTTTTTACGAGTGTTATTAAAAATTTGATATTTGCATGCTTAACGATAAAAGAAACATTATTAGAAATGGGATTAATTATATGATCAAATAAAATACGATTATTTACCATCGCTGTAACGCGGACGTATGAGTCTTCCATATCTTGTATTGGCCAGACCCCAAGTAGGATTTCGAAGATTATTGCAAGAACCGTCATAACTTCGATATCGCGATTGCTGACAAACTTTGGGAAAAGTGTCGCCGCACTTAATTTGTTGATGAACATCGTTGCTCGTATTTTGACCAGAAATGAAAGGAAAGCTTGAACAAATAAAACAGTAAGTAAGACAAATTTTTTTTATTACACATGTAATGACACAAAATATAGTTCTTTATATAAGCTTTATTAGCTCTCTATAACCCAATTTTTTTGTCAAAAAAATTATATAACGTGAAACTAGCAAACATTAACCTTCGAATAAAACTAACAATTAATTTAGAATTTAAAATTTTTTTTTATAATCACTCTAGTATAAAAAGCAAAAACTGTAAATTGTGATAAACAAACTCTTTGATTTCGAAAGTGTGGTAGAACAATAAGATGCTAAGCTAAATTGCAGCAAAAAATGAAATAAAACTGAAAAATACATATGTACACTGAGAAAAAAAATGTGTCAATCTTAAGAAATATTTAGTTCGATACGTTCAACTAAACATTTTAGTTAGTTAACTAAACATTAGTTGAATTAATTAATTATTGATTATAAAGAAACGAAATAAATTGTTGAAACAACTAATATTTAGTTAACTAACTAAAATGTTTAGTTGAACGTATCGGACTAAATATTTCTTGAGATTAACAATTTTTTTTCTCAGTGTATGAGTATGTGACTTTAAAGTTATAATATATATTCGTTGTAGAGAGGGATAATATGCTATTATCTTGCACTTAAACCTAATTTTTTTGTACATTTCTTGTTTTTACATTTACATTATTTATTGACTTACTTGGAATTTGAGAAGTCCAGCGAAGATGGAAAGTATGAAAACGTCGGATTTGGAGAATGATAGACAGACGGGCGATAGGAACCAGAGAAATGATTTTGAACCTTAAACACGTTGTAATACGAAGTTTCCGATCCTTCTAAATCCGGAAGTTTCCTTTCTTGCTCTTTTAAACAGATCATATATGTGCAGATGTAAATTTTATGTGTAAAAGAATATAGCATATGTGTAAAACAGGAAATATGCCCTATTAATAATAGTTGCAATCAGCTTACTTAAGTTTTCAATTTCTCGGCGATATTAAAGAACCTTGATTTACTTTCAATAGTTTTATAAACGATCGTCTTTAGATTTCATAATGTTAGCAATCGTTTCGCCAAAAGTAACTCCTCTAAAATTTTCCCACGCAAGACGATCAAGTATTTTATTCACAATAGAAGACATTTATCTTCCCCTTTGTATAGATATACCGCACTCGATGCTAAGCAAGATATCCTTTCGTTTATCGTATTTGCTGTTGAATACGGCAGCGATCGCTGCTGTTGAGACGATTAATGTAGATTTATCAATAAAACCGGTAGACTCGTGATTTAAACAGATCCGCGAGCGCGGGAGAACCTTTCACCATTTACGACCGTAAACGTTAAATGTTACGTCGACGACAGATATAATCGGTTCGTGCCGTCGTGCATAATGAATCATTGGGATAAATGTTTAATTTACAAGAACGTCGCGTTTTGTTAAATTACTCGATTGGAGATCTCTTGATGCATTCTTGCGTCGAGAGAACTTCCCTCCCGGAAATGATTCTCTTTTTGATAAATCGACGACATTAATGAATCGTGAGCTATGTGCGATCGCAGAACATTGAGTAACGGGATAATTTTTCGCAACATTTGGTTCACCGTTTAAATGTTATACTAGCGACAGGCTGTACCGTCACGATTCGATAATTTCTTGGCACACACGGTGCAATGTGTTTCGAATGCTGTTTACCAAATATACCTAGTCGTTGAACCACATATGGACGCAACGCGCTGATGTGAGTTTTAAAGAAAAATCATCTAATTGTAAGTCTTCCATATTAAGAAACAGAAGAATAGTACTTTCAATTTTTTAAAATTTAAATTTTATTTCTGTACAATGTTTAATATAGGTACTTTTACGTTAATGTAACACGCACGTCGCAGAAGTGGTCCAAAACATGTTGAAGCCATTTTGCATAGCCAGTTTGCGCATGTAATTTCACGTGAATGCATTTCGCGGCTAGATAGTTCCGCGTAGATGGAGAATCCTTGATTGCTCCAAGTAACCTTTCATTTGCCCGATTTTGCATCGCCACCAGACCTTCTCTCGAAAACGTAACGTGCCTTTCAGCAGTGCGCACGCGTGCATTTTCTATCTCACGAGCTATTTCTTGCCATTAACTCCCACCTGTTACACAAAGAACGTGCAACGCATGTATACGCCGCGGTAACAGTTTCTCTGCCCGTGTCGACCGTCACGATTATTGATCTTGTTATTATACTGTTAGAGAAAACGAACATATTACAACTAGATCATGTAACATTCTCCGTAAACTTTCATAATAATTGACGCAAAGTACTAAATACCTTCAACGGATCAATCACAAGAAAAGCATGTCAAGATGAAAGTGCAGTTTGCTAACTGGACCAGTATTGATATCATGACAAATAGTTTTGTTTATCAAGTCTAACAAAGTTATTAATTTTAGGCTAGGGTTATTAATTTTTCTGATAAGTTGCATGCTTAAAGATAGCAATTGTAAATTATACGAAAAACCATTATTAAAGTATATGTGATAATCTTATGCCAGAAGTAAATTGCATGGTTCTATGTCAGAAAACATTTGACATAATTTTTTGTTATGGTTTCAAGTTAATACAGTTAGCTATATTATTTAGCACATTAGTTATATATTGTATCTGAAAGTTTTAATAAAATAATTGAATAAATGAATATAAAATAAATGTAGTCTGTTTTTTAACTAAATTGTCATTTCGAAAGGTGTACAATACAGGATGAGGCACCTAACTTTATCGGACACACTGTTAATAACAGTTACCTATGTTAAGGAATAGACGATTGTAATAACAATAATAATAAGCTGAGATGCTTTTTATGTTGATAAACATAAAGATCTTGAGTATCTCATTATCTATAATGGTGCGTCTCCACCTGCGAGTAAGAACTCTCGAGAGCAAAAAGAAAGAGAGAGAGAGAAAGACTCTTGAGTCTCTCTCTCTTTCTCTCTTGTTGCTCTCGAGAGTTCTTACTCGCAGGTGGACACGCACCATTAGGATTAGGGCCGACAAATGATAATACACTTTTACTCAGAATTCAACATATTTTTTAACTACACGACATAAAAAATATAACATTCGGTTTAAAAAAATAAAGTTGACTTTCAAATCTTTAAAACATCTCCACTTATAAAAAATGATCCTTTCTAAATCACGCAACTCTTGCATGTAACAATTTTTCATACAATGCATAATTTATTATAATTATTCAAGATGCACAAGTTAGTATTTTACTCTATATAAAAATATAAATTATTATTTTGATACATTATAAGAAATTACTTTTTATTGAATTTTTTTCAAATCTGGATCATTTTACGTGTTAGGTACACACTTCGTAGTAATATAAGTAATTACAAAAATACATAATATTTTAACAATATTAAAACTTGAACTTATTTTTATTAAATTAGTATAAAAATTTTATGTCATTTCTGCGCTCGAGATAAAAGTAATAATTACCTCTGTGCGACGAAGTAGTCTGTTTCTTTGTCGTGGAGTCTTCGGTGTTTACAATTGCTAACAAACTGTTCTGCAAAAGCACTGCAATGAGGAAGACTACAATCCAGAGATTATTTCGATTTCGCATGTTTCTGAAATAAAAATATGAAATTGTATTTATAGATAAGATAATTTTTAATATTATATTTGAAATTGTATTACTTATTCGAATAACAGGGGCTTTGAGAGTTCAACGCGGTTGAGGGTATGTAAGTTAATGCTATACGACGTTTAATCTTTAACAACTAATAAAAGATACATAATTATAAATCGCACGTTTTGGTTCTTTTTGTAATTTTTATTTATTAGATAGATAAAAATGCCTTTAAAGATAGATAGATAACCTGTGTTTTTAAGATAAAAGTATGATTTCATTACAAATTATTGTTTGGCTGACATACAATGGCAATGTTCTTGTATCCATGCTTTAAGAAATTGTTCCAATTATTTGACTTCAATGCTTAGTTTTACGTTTTTTGAGCTGGTGAATAAGTAACTTCACTTCTCTTTTTGTTCAAGTTATGACTGTCACTTTAATTTCGATTATATCATAAATTATGATCATTAATCAAGTTTTACTTTCTCGTCGAAAATTATGCCATTTTTAAACCTTCAAGTTTTAAATTACTCTCTTGTTTCTTGGAAAACGTGAAATCATTTTGATTTAATTGTTACCGCATCTCTGATAATGGCTCAAAGCGGAGCCAAAACGTCTGATTTATAATTATATATTTTATTAGTTGTTAAAGATCGATATAACGTTAACACATTGTTAACCGCGTTGAACTCACAAAATTCCTCTTTACTTGTCTTTTACTTTGTTATAATTTTATTATCAAGAAGCTCTTGTTATTTAATTATACGATTATTATTATTAGACTTATTATTTGATCATTACTGGCATTTATAATTTAACTTTTTCCGGATGCCTACGTAGAAATCCGTGATATAATATTTCGAAACGATATCATTGTGAAATTATTTATTACACATACAAAATTAAGGACACTACTCATTTCAAATTCCTAATTAAATTGTGAAAATATTAAGGTGAGTAACCACCAACTGTTGTTTGCAAACATTTATCCAGAAAAAACACATTTAAACAAAATGTTCACAAGCATTCGTAAACATTTGTTAAAAATGCTTTTCTGGTGGGTATCCTTTACAGAGTTACTGAACGTAGATTTTACGCGGAAACCAATATTGTAGTTCCATACGGTACGATCTCAAATTAAAACTATTTTACGAAGCTTGCTAAGCAGCTGCTTTTATAGAATGCCAGTTGAATATATTGTTTCTACTAAATAGCCCCTTATGCATTAGAAAATGAATTTATGAATGAATAAGCAGATGACACGAACGCTATTAGTTTACCTTGGTACTATTTTCATCTTCATGGTGATAACAGTTTCTGAGACTACACGCGCAACTCTTCCGAATAAAGTTGAATATTCCGATATATCTTTTTCGTGCAAGACGCCACAAGTATATAAATTTCAATTTTTTTCCTAATAGATTATCATTAGGAATTTTTACAGCTGCAGTAAATTCATGAAAAGATAACGTTCTGCGAAAGAACGTCTTATTTTCTGGCTTGTGTGTTTACGTTTTCTTGTGTTGATCATCCATCTCACTGACATTGCGACGTTGCAACTCAATTTCTCGTTAATGCATGGAAATCTAACCGCATTTGCGGTTCACTTCCCGAATGCAATTTACATGCCTTTTTCACGTGATATATGCATCAAGATGTGCGTATAATGTTAATGGAGTTTGTGAAGATCGGACGTATACGAACGACAAAAAGATGCGTGGCGCATCGCTACATTATACGTATGCATCGTTTCGAATCATTATCGCTGTGATGACGCACAGTATTAACTATAAATTAGTGGATTAATCTCATTGTCAGATATTTCCTTTGCTGCACGTGACTTTATTAAATTGCTCTAAAGTTAACGTACCGTTATCATAATTTTATATATGTGCGCTGGTCACAGAAAGAAGAAGTCTGTGCGGCGCTGGTGTGTGTCTAAGCATAATATAATCCGATAGAATCTAATCAGTATGTACATAGAAAATTAATCACTATCTTGAAATAACTTAATTCTAGGAAGTAAACCACATTACACAATTTTTATAATATTTTGCATACTTGCAATTAATTTTAATAAGCAAGATATACTTTTGGTTTTCTTAATAAATTGATTGCTGTTGCGCAAATCTTTAAATGCCGACAAAAAAGTAAGGAAGATGATTGATTATTTAATATACATATATGTTATGCAAATAGAGACTCGATTGCATCTATTTTACATTTCTAATTACAATAATATTGTAATGAATATTTTTATATCGCAATGTCGATTACAAAATATGCGTAATAATATGCCTCTACGCGCGCGGAGGTATATTTGTACTGCATGTATAGCGACACATTATGAGACAGCACAAAATCGTTCGTATAAGTTCTAAGTGACGCTTGATTACGCGTACGGTACCAGAAATTAGTGTCGTAATAGCGTAACAGTAACAATAGCAATTGAAGTCAGCAATCGTGTATTGCCTTACTTTTAACACTCTTTGCGATATCATATACCTAAAGTCAATTAATTTCTTATGACGTGGTCAATCTGAAAGACATAACGTTACTGTTGTCGTCATTTGTTATACATAATCAATCTAGAAGTAAGAAATAATATCAAAATAATAATTACAATAATAATTGTTTTATTGAAATCTTCCTTAAGTTATCTCATGCCACATGTTCAATTCTTAATAAGCAAAGCAAATCTTTGAAGTTATATCGATATCTAGAACTATTTTTCGTACATTAAAGAGAAAAATTTGAATCTGTTTAATGTAAAATTATTTTCATAATTTATGCAATACAGAATGTTAGGTTCTTTGAGCCTTGGAGGATGACTTTAATAGATTACAGATGACGTTGCAGTCTATTATTTACTAGCGAAAAATTTACAAAAGGTCCAGAAGTTACAGTTTTCTATTTTTAACGTTAATATTAGATGTCTGATTAATAAAGATTCAGATTTAATTTTAAAATGATGTTGTCTCGGGTATAGCGCCTTTATAAATATTTTCGCAAAATTTATCTCGGATCAGCGATGCTCGATATTCGATATCGCTTTTATGCATAAGCATCCTCTCCTCGGAAGGGCCACGCGAGGTCACGTTTCTCACGCTACTATCTCATTTCGCGTATATATCACACGGAATCAATGTCGCGTGAAAAACAGTTTAATCACAGAAGCAAGGGCGTGATTGTGCGCGATTGCCTTCCGGTTACGACTATAGCCTTCGCGCGCATGTAAAGGAGGTTTTCTCCATTTATTGGCAACAATTTGCACAATCTGTGGCAACTCATACCCCATTGTCGAAGGCCGACGCTTTGTATTGTACAGTTGCGAGTAACAATGACGCGGATTTCGATTAGATTTTTCTCGTTACCAACGTTTATTCGTGACTGTCATCTTTCTGTACTAGTTCTAGTGGGATAGGTGTAATTGTATGTTGCGAATGCTTACCCGGTAAAAAAAACTTTAGCTGAACTATCAAGCACAAAAAAATGCAAATTTCATGCAAGATAAATTAGTTATTCAGTAATTCAAAAATATCATTTTTAGATAATACTCTGAATATATTAGGTATATTTAGATAAAAGATTTTGTTTTAAATCTGTGCAACATTATACTAATTTATTATAAGCTATTCCAAATAAAGCTTCGATTAAATATAGCGACTTAAAACTCTTGTTTTCTTATACTGCAGTTTCATTGAATTATGACGTAAAAAGCGTAGCGCAAAAATTAATTAATTTTTATATACAATATTACAAGAAGAGAAATTAATATGATTTCTCACTTCTGATGTTATGACATAATATTACTGCAATAAGGAAACGAGAATCTTAAATCAACGAATGTTAGAAGTATAACTCGTGTAATTTAATAAGTTTTAAACTTGCAGTTACCATCTAATAAATACCGTAAATTTCGAGTAAATGATTCGATCATGCTCGTACGCACGAAAGAACCGGCGGAATTTACACTTAACGAACAAGAAAACTGTGAGGTAACTTCACTGGAAATGCATAGTAACTACAGTTGCAGTTAAATGTTAACGAGTTGCTTGTGCATCTTCAAAATTTATTAAGTGAAAATTCACTGTAAAACATCGCATATTAAAAGTTACATAAATTATAATAATCAAACAGAGATATCCAGTATCAAAACGTGAATATTAGTTAACTTAATATTAATTAATTTTAATTAATTAATTTAATTTAATTTTTATTCTTTTCTATGCAAGTTATTTTTAATCGATGCAATTAGGCAAATTTATTAAATTCAATTCATGACGTTTTGACATAAATTTTTGTTTTTTTCAAGTATGACTTATATAGTCATAGATTCCATAATATAATAAACTCACAAAAAGTCTCAATAATTATGACATTGTGCCTAAACGACGCTATAAGTCTAAAAACTGAATTATTAAAAGGTAAGTCAAAGTAATATACCAATATGAAAGTCAAAATTAAAAGAAAGATCGCTGAAATGTTTTTCATTAAGAAGTATAATAAGAAATATAAAGAAGTACTGCACGATTAATCTACAGAAAGACACTGAAAATTTGATTGAGCACGATAGAGCAATTAACGCTGCATAGTCTTTTGTTTTCTTCGATTTCTTGCACTGTATTTACGACAACTTTAACTATTAACATTTGTTATCTTTGTTTGCTTACTTTAACTAGTTTATCATTGTCATGTGCCATGGTTTTGACGTGCTTCTCAACATGAATTCCATCCACAATATAATTTCGAGACATTAATATTATTACACTTACCAATTTTACATTTATGTAATGCACAAAATATGTAAGCCTTGCAATTTTATATTAATTTTGATTTTTATATTACTTTTTTATAATTCAGCTTTTAGATTTGTGACATAGTATTTAGGCACAATGCTATGATTATTGAGATTTTTTTGTGAGTCTATGATATTACGGAGTCTATGACTCTAATTCACTTGAAAAGTATAAAAATTCATGGTTAAAACATCGTAAATTTAATAAATTTGGCCAATTAGATTAATTAAAAATTTAATTTACGCCCAGGTAGCAGGGCGACGTCAAATGAAGTATTAATAACGTTTTAATGACGTCAATCTCTAACGTCAATAAAACGTCATTAAGACGTCTTTAGATGTCATCCTGCTACCTGGACGTTAATTATTTACTGACAAAGAAAATGTCATAGTTTTTATTTTAAGTTTTTTAATGTTTTAGACTTACGTGATATGTATATTTTTATTAATTGTGTATTAATAAACTGCATATTTTTGTTATAAGATATATTATTGCAATACACATAACGATGCGCATCGACATGATTTTCCAGATTATATGTAATTATGTAATATTTTTAAATTTTATATTATATAAAATAAACAATTGCAATTATTATATACCTTACTTCAAAATGTCTTTTCTAATGTACAGGATTAACACACACGCAAGAGTAATCTTAGATATCCGCATTAACTTCAAAGATTTGATTCGATTCATTTCTCAATGAATCGTAGCGCCATAATTTGATGCTGTAATTAAAGCACTTGTATATACAGGAAACAGCCAAAGTTGACGCTTTGGACCACATACTTTCGTAATTATTGATCACAGGTAAACAATTAAATCGACTAATGAGGAATCACCTCGCATGTGTATATACATATATGGAGACTTACAAGGTTCAGCCAAATCGTTTATGTATCCCGGCAGCGTATAACATTTATGCTAAAAGGTAATTAACAGTAATTATACTAGACTATATTTTTAATTACTCTGATCATGATTCTTAACATGTATTATTTAGGAATTTGACCTCTAGTACGAGCAAATGTCACTTTTATTTGACTCCGTTAACTTGGCAGAGAAATACTTCTTTTAAAAGAATCAAGATTTTTTAATGTTCAATAATTTTTTCAAGAATTTAGTTATAATTTACATATGGGAATAAAAACAAAAATTTAAAGCTCATCCAGAATGCAGGTAAAATGTGATAACTTAAAATTAGATTAAAATTGGTACAATTTTATCGTTTAACTTTTGTTTCTATGCTGGAAACACAGGAATCTTACATTTATTGTTTGTAAATGTAAATGCCCATAGAAAATATTACTTACTTTTTTTGTTTTAGTCTCTGATCAATGTAAAGGAGACTGAATCTCGTACGATTGAATCTCGGTTCGACCTTAGAAGGCAGTAGGGGTGTTGTGTATGCGTTGAAAACTACTTGAAGTAAAGTAATCTTGATAGTGATAATTGCTATATAGGTAATGTTTCGACACGTGTTGACGGGAACAACTGAACGAGCAACAGATACGAGTCGAACTTTATAAATGACGGGAGAAAGTAGAGGGACACTACCTCGTCGACAACTCCACGTTGCCGAAAGCTTAGTTGCCTATATATCGATTGTGTAATTTAAGAAAGAATTATTTTATATATTATATATAATTATGTATATAATATGTATAGAATTAAATTCTATAAAATTATATTTTGCCAGAAAATACAGGATATCTCAGAAGTCCCGGAACGGTTAAATATGTCAAAAAAAGTGGAAGATATGGCAAAACGTTTTAGACAAAAGTTGTATTTAAAAAGATCTATTTACTGACCTTATCAGTTTGACCACAGGTAGCGTCGTTAGGGTCAGGGTCACTTTGAATTTTTTAAATTGGATTTTCTATTTTTTATTGCGTATTTTTGTAGCCCTTGTCGAGACATTTCAAAACACTATAATAAAGCTATTTTTCGTTAAAAATTTCCTAAAATATTTTAAATTTTGTCACAATATTTTAAATATGAAATATTATGTAAAGTACTCACACTGCTCACACTTTTTGATGACTTTACTTTGATACTTTTATACGTGGAATAATGAATAGATACATAAACATTAACGTTTATAAATATATTCATAAATTATTCATGCACATTAATATTCATATACATTTAAACAAAGTAGCTATTACATTTTCTCAGATTTTTTTACCTGTAACGCTCTTACTAAATGCAATAGCGTTTTGCACATGTTACAAATATATTATTAATAAGATTCTGAAATAATCTTAATGATAATATTATATAACATAATTATTATATAATATTGTTATGTAATATAATTATTATATAATATAATTATAATCTTCCGAAATAATCTGCTTCTTATTATTTGTATCCTCCAAAAGTTTAATTTTTCATAATTAAACAATATAAGAATTAAAATAAGATATTAAAAACTTTCTTTGAAATACGCAATAATTTTAGTTGGTATGAACAACATTTTTATATTAAAAAATTATTATTTTCCACTTTCAGACCACTTTGGTCGGTCATATCACGATCTCAAGAGACAGATTCGTATTCTATACGATATCGGGAGATGTAATAAAAACGACAAATAAATCGCAGATTATGCGACCTTACCAAAAGATAGGTAAATCTAAAATTGAAGCAAATAGATCTTACCTGATCTTCCCTGCCAGAGATAAAAAATTCAGCCTCGACGAATCTATTTGCTTTTGCAAATTTATAAACTATTCCGAAAGACGCATAATCTGAAATGTTTGTCGTGTTGAAGAAAATATAGAAGATCATTTTAGATTTATACAGGGTGCCCCATTTTATTTCTGACGGTCCATCAAAGATCCATAATTTTGATCGCATATAAAGCTAAGTCTAATCAACCGAATTTAAAAGAATTATATATGAAATGGGGGTAGAAAAGACTGAAAAATATAATAAAATTAGAAATAGATAGATATCTCCAAATTTGCGGAAGTTAATATGTTCAGAGTGTTCTAAAATGTCAAAATATTGCATTAAAATCGCATGTCCGTACGTATATATGTGTATGTGCAGATTTGATGTCCGTGTTTGCTCTAACTTCCGTAAATATTGAGATATCGGGCTGTTTTTTTTTATCAATAGAGTATCATTCATGGAAGGTTGGTATTGAATTTGGCGATGATCGGTAAAGGGGTTCTTCTTTAAAAAAATTTTGAATTTTTTTAGAAATGTCCGTGGTTGCTCTAACTTCCGCAAATTTGAAGATATCTACAGCGCAATATAAAAAGTCGATGTTAATGCAATCAAATAAAAATTAACGAAAATGTAGATAACATAAATACTAGTAGGGGAGACCGGGGCTAACTCGACACTATTTTTTCAAAGGCAATATTTCATATTTAATTAAAATTTTTAGGCAAATTCAATGGTATATATTTAAAGAGTGTTCCTTATTCAGGTACAAAATTGATTCAGAAAGTTTTGCTGTACGTCGCTTTGTTTTGGGAATAGAGTAATAATAAATCAGCAATAATTTAGCACTAAATTATGTCGTATACCCGAAAATTTTTTTAGTAGTGGGGGTGCTAGGTTTACAAAGGTGCTACTTTTTCCTTTAAAACATTACTGAGAGGAACCGAGTTGACATACAAGTATAAGAATTAGATCAAAATAAAGGAAAAATGTATCGTACGATGCTGAATATGTTAAATTTCATTCAGAAATCAAGAAAATATAGCTTGAAACATCAGAAACAAATCCAGATTTTGCCTCGTAAAACGGAACCAACATTTTAAGCTTCATTGATAGCAATATTTAGCTTAGCTCTTTAACTGCCTCATAACGTATTTCAAACAATTAAAACAATTTTACATTACATACACTTAATAAAAAATTACTAAAACTCATAAATATAGAGATTTAATGGGCACAAGACCGCCTTTCCGTTGAAGTATCGCATTAGAATTTAAGCGTTAGGATTTGAGGAGTAAAGTATATTTATGCAATTATATGTATTTTCATTGTATGGTTGATAAAATGTAATTTATTCACATATAATGTTGCTTACAAGTTGCTATCGACTTGAGCCAAGCAATTGCAACAATAAAGTATTCGTATTTTTTAGTACGTACCTACATTTAACTGTAATATATAAATTAAAACATTATTGAAACTATTAATTGCGTGTATAAATCGATTGTATAAAATCGATTATATGACAATTATTAAATTTTGTAAAAATTGTTATTTAAGTAATTATTTTTGGCAGCCGTTATGTAAATTTTCAACGTATAAAACATCCTTCGGTAACGCTACTTGTTAACGGAATTATATATAAAAAAGTAAGAAATTGATTTTTGATATTTCTGCTGTATCTTAAATATTAAAACTTATGATACGTCCATTAAGTTATTGCTTCCATTTATAGCTTCATTCTATTCACTCTTCGAGTTATTTTCAAAAGTAAAAAATGCATCTTTTTATTTCTTTTGTAATACTTCGTGTCTTTGTTTCGTGTATCCTTTCTTTATCCTTCTATATATTTCTTTTTATATATTATCCATATTAATATTTATATTTAAATTTACAGATCTTCATATTTCATATTTATTGACCAGATGCTTACAATCTCGTGTAACGAGAAAACAATATATTGCAATTATCGCTTAGATAAAAATCATATGCGCTTCTATATTCTAAATCATCACAAATTGTTCAGTCGCTAAGTAATTTCAACTTCAGCCTCGATTCAGTATAACCGTCTACAAAAACATAAATACGTCAGTAACACTCTTGTGTTCCACTGTTTTCACACATTCATCTCAATACGTATGCACGAGAGTATCTATGGATGTGCTTACACGTGTATCAGACTATATAATATCAAACTGTCACAAAATACAGTCTTACAAGCGAAGCCAATCGCAAAGTGAACCCTAATGTCGGCTTTCTCAACGGCTAAGAATCGATGTTCATCCGTTTGTTCACCTGCAATCGTCGGTTTGCACCTGCGCCATTCAGTCTCATTCCATCTGCTGGATATTTTCTTAATCGACTAGTCACTGTTTTCGCTGTTGCTTTGCCTTTTACTGCCTCAATCACTTCATTATGGCGTGCGCGACATCGTCGCCGCAACACTTGGCGACGATTCTAATGAGACTATTACGTAGTCTGACATAATCGCTTTTTCTACGCTCCCATTTTCGTTGTGCGCTAAGCCTTTTTCCTCAGGCCCGCACTACGTCTACGGGCGAACGGATACCATTTATTGTGTGACCAGTCAATTATTTAAGGACTTCAACGATATGCTTTTGCTCTCTCCGCCCAGGCAAAGAGGTCCACGCTGGGTATCGCCTCAAAGTCTGTGCAGCGTCTCAATTCGTTCCTGAAGCATTACAGAAGCAATAATGAATTAAGCGTGCGATAAATTTTGGTTATTAAAATATCCAAATTAATTAAGTTGGACCACAGACTCTCGGAACTTACCCTGCCTGTGGCTTGAGGAACACATTGTACTGCATGTGCGTGATGTCATCACCATTGTCGCAGAATATCCGCGCTAAGGTGACGTTACGCACTTGAGCCAATTGTTCTGTAACAAAAAGAAGATAATTGATCAGATTCGAAAGTTTGTAACAATACATGCAATTCGGGAAACATTAGATGACATATAGAAGCAATATTCAGCGTACCAGGTGTGAAAGGATGCGGTTGCGTCGCGGAGTCATAGAAGAACCTATCGGTCCGCCGGGTTCTGGAGAATTGTTCGTAAATAAGGCAGCGGAAGGTTGGACCGATCATGCCATCGTCCGCTGGTCTCTCCGCCATACCACCCACAATAAGATCGACGTCATTGGGATGGGAATAGATTGTGCGCAGTTTTCTCATCATCTAGTAACAGAATGATAACATATTGATAACTATAATTCGTAAGAACATCAAATGTAAAAGGAGCGATTTGTTTCGAGAGCTTACCTCCACAGGAATGTAATCTAGGAAATCGTCAAAAGTCTTGGCAGCAGGAAGTCCGCAGTATCTACGGTAATAATTGTAACCTGGGAGGCCATGATCGCGGCCACGTTCAATATCCAAGCTAATGGCATCCAAGCCTAAATCGTTGCCATTGCTAGTGTACAATTTGCTTGTCATCTGTAACGCAAGGGTATATCATCGCAAAATTCTTCATCCAACGAGCATTATTTTTATACGAAAGGAAAACTTAATGCCATACTTACGTCTGGAATGAGACTAATGTCCATTTTCTGGCTGGTTTGAGTAGCAAGACCACGGAGCAATCCATCAAACACCTCCTCTGATTCGATTACGCGCGGATTGAAGAAATGCTCCGCTAGCTGTATCGTTTTGTTCTGTTGGCGTAAATTGTCTGGCAAGCTGAAACAAGAAGATCATTCATATTTCTCTACATTGCGATCGGCAAATCACCGCAGGATTTATTTCCGGCGCGTCGTAACGCTTACCTCAGCTTTCCCTGCATCAGCGAATTCAAGAAACGCAGCGCTGCGGTGGCGGCTTCGTTGCTGACCGCCGGCTCGTCATCGGAATTATAGTTACGGCTGTAATTATTCCCTACGATGAGCCCGATGGCTCGAGTGTATCTTCTGCCCAACAAGATGGGCAACCACTCCTTGTACGTGATATGCTGAATCTCAGCAATCACAATGCGCCTGGCCTCTTGGTACAAAATCTCGTCCGACCAGTCCGGATTCAATCTGGCAAGTGTGTTGGCGACGCGATTGTGTTCACGGTGCCAAACCGTATGAATCACAGCTAACTGAGGATGAACGTTCACGCGATCGTCACCTAGTAAACGCGTATTTGTTAGAATGTTGTAAAACGCCTCATGCGTAACAAATATATAAATTCCTAGTTATTAGATAGATGAATGTGTAGAATTAAGATTCTCACCGGCATTGTAGCAATTCTCTCCGCATTGCGACGTAAGTTCGGCATCTCCTCTTGGCAAGTAAGCGTGATTGTTTTGAACGTCGATGCGAAGACGTCCTCCTTCGAAAGTGCGAAGCTCGCGAGATTTTTTTATAGTAGAACCGTAAACCGTGGAACCATCCAGAAAGTGACTCACTTGGTTCATCTGCAAGTTCATACACAAATTCACATATAATTGCGCTAAAATTTGGAATTATAATTGAGCAGTCTTGAGGCAATTTTCTTATACTTTCAAAGTAAAGAATTTAATTCAAACAATCTTTGCTTTAATATAGGTATGATCCGTATGATGATTATACTTACTTGTTCCACAGGTCCGAAAGTACATTCTGATCTTAAGACAGGTAACGATCGAACGTAATTCATGCACCGAACGTAATGTTGGCCGTAAACGGGATCGCGGTCTGACACACTGATCGGAAAACAATCTGGATGAACGTGACGTGGTGACAAAGTATCTCCATCCGGCTGACAGCAAAAGATTGGTTTTCTGGTTGAGACTGCAATTAAAAAATAATTTTTTTTAATGACTTGATTACGTCAACAAGAATTGTCTTTACAATCGACATATCGGCTATTTGATCTTTGCTTCGACAATTAGAAGAAACATTATTTATAATTTTTAGTCTCTAGCATCAGAGTTTACATTGTTGCGAAATAAGAAATTTTTGTAAGTTCGCGATACGGAGTTGTTGACTTCTATAAGAGAGAAGAGTTATATGTTTCGCCACAAAATATATATATATTCCAGTTTGTTTTAATCGTAAAAGGCCATGCTTCTTACATAACAAATGAGAAGTCAGTCGATTACAATTAGCCACTTAAATTTACAGGGTATACTTACCCATTTTACGAACTGGGGTGTGGGCCATGTCGTGAGCAATAAATTGGCTCCATTCCATCACAGCCAGTGTTCTGCTAGCATCCGATTGATCGTTCGCGGTGGACAAAGCGGCGCTTACGAGCCTCGGGCTTGGCAGTGGTTTCTTCGTTTGTCCGACACGCCTCGGTTCTTGGATGCCTGCTTTCCAAACCGAACATTAGATCTGTGTCGCATTAATGGCTTGAAGTCGCAAAATCGGAGTAAATCGGTGCTACTTTGGCGCGGAACGCAGTGCTTTGCTCTCGCCGAAGATACTCGCGAGATAAAACATAAATTATAATCATCGAGTCACGCGAGCAAAATTATAACGAAAAAAGATACGATACGATTTCCTGACAATTCGCAGTAAACCGATCAGCCGAACGAACAGTCATCGTATTACAGATCTGATCAATCGTGATTACTCCGATTTTAGCGAGCTTAGACGCGTGCGCGCGCGCTCAAAATAGTACGTTTGGCAGTGCAGCACGAGAGGAAACTATTAATGACTATAAATCTTCTAGCTATAAATAGGCGAATGTACCGCCGGCGCCGGCTGTGCTAATCTTGAGATCCTAGCTGCGCCTACAACCTGCCTTGTCCGCGCGATAAATTCAGGGAACGATCAGAGAGTAATTTCGCATCGTATCCGGGACGAATCGTAAACAGGAATTATCATCGCTGGGGGGAGGGGAGGGATTCGTACCCTGCATTCTCACCGGAGGATCGGTAATCTCGCTCCTGACGCTGATCGGTCCCTGAAAAATCCTAAATCTCGTGCTGCAATGCGAGACTGCTAGCGAGTATTACCTCGACTACAACGACTCCGACGTTCTGATGCGTTATCGAACGACGAGCCGTCTGTTGCGTCGCTGTTTAAGCAGACTGGCAGAGACGCGATTGTGTAACTGCAACTACGAAATAACGGCTCGCGGATGTATATATATATATATATATATATATACATATATATATAAATAATCGACGCCCTGGCATCAAAGTTACGGCCGCCTGGATCGAAAACGCTCGCAGAAACGTCCCCGAACTTATCTATAATATAGATGATCAATGAAGGCGTTCGAACGAGCAAACTGAGCTGGGAGGAGGTTCTGAGGGTAATTTTAAATGTATCGAAAATACACCGCGACGGTAGACTGCAGAAACGTTGACAATGTCCAAAAGCAATTTCGATGATTGATCGATTGATTGTTAAGACGAGAAATTCATGTTATATGTGAGAGAAAAGAGGGTTCCACTTAATCGAGTTCAAACTAAGAATACTTCAATTTTTTTGGAAGTATATGTCACAATGGGTTTTGCGTTTGTTATAATATTGAATGTGACAATTAGAACCATCTATTAAGTGCGACTGTGAATCGCGCATTCCCAAGCCGAGTTCCCTCATTCGGGTACCTTCGCGCGAGCTGCGTAAATTGCCGCAAATTGAACAGAAAAAACAACTCGAACTAGTGTTACATAATAAATATGATACATTATTAGGTATATCCGAATTAGTTTACATACACATTCTACTGCTGGATACAATCTCCCGACCGGGGCACCCTATTGTAGACAGTATTATTCACTGCTACACTCAGGCATTTTATGCTCTATGTGCCTTATCGCATAACAACTGTAATGCAAATCACAGAATATAATTTGTTAAGCCAATCGACGAACGTTTATCCATTAGCGCCAAGGATTTGTGTGTCCAGTGTACGTTTTTGTATGTATGTACGTATGCACATATATGCATTGTAGATGTATGTATAGCACACACGCACGCACACACGCACACATACATACACAACACAAATATACATATGTATGAATGTGTGTTACAGAGGTGTCGTGATAAGTGGGATAGATGGGTTAGTAGGTCGAGGTTGCTGGTTGATGAGACTGTGGACATTCAAGACGCCGTTCTTGCTTTGATTATAAAATCAAAACAAGAAGCGGCGACTTCTAATCGTCAAACCTCAGACGATATCAGACTCGAATAGTAGAAAAAAGCCTGCCGTGACGCAAATCGCGCAAATAATAATTTTTCATAATATACATTTTCCGCGAATCTGTTTAAATCAAATTAGCGTCGTGAGTTCCGTATATAGAGCAAACTTTCCAATATCGTCGCTTTGTTTATACACTGGAACTCACCGCGCAATATTATAATGAAAATATCAATTATCTTTTGAATGTTTGCTTTCTATGAGCACATTGACTGAAACAGTATTTATGTAATTATATTTCTATTATATATATAATATTCGCAAAATGTCGAATTCTCTCATCCACATCTGATAAATTTAATAAAGTGTATGATTCTCTCTTATTTCACTTATTATTATATTCCCATCATTTTTAATATTTTGATGAGTGAATTCGACATTTTATCCTATAGTTTTAGTATACTTCGTTAGAGACAGAAGAGAGATACAAAGAAATAATGATTAGTGATAATCAGAATCAACTCTAGAATACAAATTGATTCTGATTGATTATAATTTACTGTAATTGTCACTCACATTTGACTAGGTTTTTTAAATGTATAAATATTTCCTTTTAACTCGATAGATATCGATTCGTATTTCTAGAGTTAAAGTATGTTAACAAAAACGCTTAACTGAATCCTAGTGTGACACATCAACACGAAAGGCATTGACGTAACGCGAGGAATGCAATGTGTCTTGTTTAGCGAAGTTTTTTGTTTTATGTAACGAGAAGCTCGAGAATTTTGCGAGTCTACAGAAAGGAGATACAATAATGCCGGTATCCTTATCTGACCAGAGTGGTCCAAGGTTGAAAACAAACCATACATCTCTCTTTATCTGCGTTAGCGGAATCGCGGTATGACACATGTATTATTATCATTCCGACTGCGACTGTCCGAGCCGATAACGTGCAGCCGCCAGCCATCATTACCATATTGCATGTTGTTATTTCGGTCTCTTTTGCGAACAAAAAGTTTACGCGTGACTAAACGGTTCGAATTTTTATCACCGTATATCGTTTACACGATGACGCATTCCCATCGCTACGTCTTTTCGATACACACGTGGTATCTAATAAATATGCAATTGCGAAACATCGTATAAAATAACATTCAACTAACACCGGTCACTGTCGCGACATACGCGATAAATATTATCAGTCCGCGTAATTAAGAGATAAAAATCATACATATATTTTCTGTAATATGGTCGCAATCTTACAATCCAGGATGATTTTTCACATTGTGCATTATGACATTTTCTCTTGCTATTATTGATAAGCTCTCGATTCAAAAAACTCACATACGCGTTTACAAACTGCGGTTTATTTTATCTAAAAAAAGAATCTCGTTTTGTTCGAAACTGATCCTTACAGGAGGGAATAATCATCCCTTCAAAAATAGGATGGATGGGTGCGTTGGATGGGAAATTTTGAGGGAGAAGAAGGAAAGCGCCAAACGTTCAGAGGCTGTAAATAATTGTACGATTATTATTCCACACAAATTTAACGATAAAGATTTTACGAGAAGAAGACGCGCGTTTACAATAAATCGCTCTATCACGAAATTTCTTCCCGTGCAAAGTTTCCGGGGAGAGAGAAAGGGGTTGATTCGCTCGCGGGGGCTGCTATCGGTCCGCGATACGGGGTCGAAAGCCACGATGACGCGCGATCAGCAATTATTTCCCTATGTACGGCGACGTACGGCCGAGATGCAATTCAAACCTGGACGGGATGATGAGAACGAAGCCATATCGCGAGCTAATGCAGTTGACAAATCGGAGGGTGGGCTAGAGAAAGTGGGAAGCGCGATCACAAGAGGAAGCGACACTTACCGTCGAAGTATTGGGAGAACAGTACTCTGGTGTACGCGGTCATCGCGCTGCCCCAGCTTGGATTGTCAATGTTGTTGCAGGTGCCGTCGATGCTGCGGTATTTGGACGTCTCGTCACATTCTACGCTATGCACCGCGGCACAAGATTCACCAAGCGGGGTGCCCTGCAGGCCCAGCGTCGATATGTACCGAGCACAGTCGTTCTTATCTAAGCCGAATCTGCGAGTGAAGATCAATAGGACGCGATCAGATTGAGTTTCTTGAACAAAGGGCGCGTGATACGACGATCAATAACCATGTAACATTGACCCGCGATTACTAATAATATCATAAAATCTCGATAACTCATATAGGATATCAAATTTCGATGGTTAATAATAATTAAGAGATAGTTTGCGCTAACGAAAAAATACCTTTAAGCGGCTATTCGGAAGCGTACCTTCGGCAGTTTTGTTGCATGAGATACGATGACGCTTTCGTTGCTACGATGGCATCGATGCTCCTGTCAAAAGCATCCGCGGAAGGATAAGAATTCCAGAATTGCTTCTCGGCCGGGCTTCGTGCCTCGAGCCCGACCCCGGCGTTTGCGATATTATTCTCAAGGGTGCTCAAGCGATCGATTAACGTTTGCGCGAACGCGATTGAGTTGTTCAGAGCCGCTCCATCAATCCTGGGAAATCTTCGATTTTCAAAACGACCGGTATCCACGATTGCTCCGGAACCGTAATTAGATGGCAATCCTGAAATCATTTCTTTGAAATATTTCGAAATAATGAATAAAGATGTAATTTTTAAATAGCGGATAAGTTAAAAACACGATAGTATCAAAAAATGATCTTTAATTTAACTTAAGCCCTCATTCCAAAATAAATATCAGTCACTTGAGCATGTCTGGACCATTTCCAAATATTGCTAAATCGACGCGAGACTAAAGATAGCTAATAAACGAAATTGTGTTACAATTTATTTCTTCAACAGCGTGCAATTCTACAGAATGATATGTGACGTACGGTACAATGCTTAAAATGCAACACAACATCGTTAATTGTAACACCGAAATTTTTCCAAAGTATCGGTGCACTTATATGGAAGCTAATAAATCGCTAATGCGATTGCCCTCGACATTTTACGAGGTGAAATTAATACCACTTCGTAAATGAATGAGTAGCTACACTTACCGGTGTAACTGGCAAGGTAATTCTGCAGAGAGTCGGGTAGCCTGTACGTGCCGATCGAGTGTGAGTGACCCAGAAGTCCCATCGTCTGCAGGGATATCCAGAGGATGGCCAGAGTGGCAACGGAGCCCGCCATAACACCGCCGGCTGCACAAAACGGAATGACTGACCAGACTGACTAACGTAAGATCGCCGAGACGCGCTCCTCTTGCATCCCAATACGTGACTCACGCGCGCGATCGGTCTACGTTAACTTGCATGCGCGACGCAAAGAGAACGACTCGGACTCTCTTGTCACGAGTGAAAATGTTGTATTAATATCGTGCGACTCGCCCGAAAGGATGTCACCGCGCCCCCTCCCCCACCCCGCTTGGCTCCGGTCCCATTAACAAATACCGGATATACATGACACATGTGCACGAGTGATTGTTGATTAATTAAATCGTTGGTAAATTTAAAAAAAATATCATCATTTTTTTACTACGAATTTATTTTCGTACAACGTTATCGTATTTTCAGTGTACATTTGTTGTCAAATATGTCTGGTAATCAGGCTTTGAGTCTTATCTCGATCGTGTTGACATTGAACGCGATCTTCGTGTCATTCAAAAAAATTAAATATAATTTAAAAAATAGGATTGTTTATAGGAGAAAGAGTCTTTAATACTATTAAATTTATTAACTTTAAATAATAAACAAATATTCAATTTTTCCAATTGATTTGTCTGATTATTCGGTACGGTCACACTGGCTTCGTCCAATGCATCTACATTACGCTTACATATATATTGTATATAGCTCATTTGCTACAACATGACATAAAGAATTATCATTTTTTAGTTGCAAAGAATGTTTGCAAAAGAATGACGAGAATTTAATATATTATACTGAATAAAGATCTGATATATACATATATATAGCTAGATACTTTCATTCTTTTATAATAAGTTATTGCACAAAAATTGCATTTAAAAATTATATTAAAAAATTTTAATGATTCAAAACGTTCAAGCTTATTATTTTCTGGAAAACTTTGTTTTTAAGTTATCAATGTTGCAGCAAATTTGTATTTGGTATTTATTCGATAAATTTTCATTTTCCTATTCGTAGTACGATAAAAACATCAAACATTCTTTACATTTCACGCGTTTGCCGAATGTTTTTATTATTAAAATGTCATAATAGATATTCCAAAGAGGTTTTTGCCGAGACAATAAAAATGTCGTTATCAACCTTTGTACCGATTTATGAAATTTATCGAAGAAAATTGCCAAAAAATTAGACGTGAGGAAAACGCCCTATATCGTATAGCAAATGAAACATTCTTTATTATGCAATGCGATGCAAAACCGTAGACGAATCGTCTGACCTCGATGAACTTGTAATGAAAAGTACATATAGCGTTTCATTGAACCAACGATGACACTCGCAAACAATTTTTAAAGGCAACACGCGAGTCTTATATATTTAAAAATGAGTATAATTTGGAGAGTTTACAGATACGGGCAGGATGAAGAAATACTTAAAAATACTTCTTATCGCATGCATTGCTAAGTTTAGACAATCAATCTAACCTGTACTCAAATGTACGAATGGTTCACCCAAGCATACACCGGCCGGCAAATTCTTTTACGTTCTTCCGCGACCTTCGCGCGTGTTCTCTCGATTATTTATAGACCGTGTTTTAGCGGGACTATCAGCAAAACGATACGCGTCTGTGTGTGCAGTTCCTATCCATATCTCGTTAACGTGGTAAACACGTCCGCGGCGCGGCTGTTCAAGTGTTCACGTGCATCGCACATGACTAGATGCTAGCTCGACTCGTTATCACGTTGATACTGCGCTCCTTCTCAGCCGCGATATAGTGAGAGTTTTGACAACGACGAAATAATAAAGAGACTTTATGTTATGTTTTCTTTCCTTTGTGTAAAAGAATGTATATAAGAGAAAGAATTTTTCGCGGGTAGTTTAAGGGGTTGAAAAATAATTCTTGTTAATATATAGCATTATATGCATTAACAATTGCATTCTGATAATACTTAAGGTAAAAGTACCAATACCCGGACATGTACCTATATATATCCGGACACCTTTATTATTTATAAGTATAACGCGAATTAAAATCAAAGATAAAAGTATTTTTTTTTTTGTAGTTTGAAACTTCAGTTATAATATCCAAACGTTTATATTTTCATTAATTTATATTTTTTTAAAGGTATCCAGACACAGATATACGTGTCCAGGTATTGGTACATTTCCTATGCTTAAGTGTCCGGGTATTGGTACCTTATTACTTTACTCGTTAAAATATGATGCGTTATTACGGTTTTAAGCTCGTTGGATTTCGGTTCTACCATGACAGCTGAAATGCCTCTCGAGTTATCTGATCGGAGCACGCGTAAGTTAAAATTTCTCACAGTTGTTCCGAACTCAGAGAGGCGATCGTACCGAAGAGAAGAAATATATACTTTTATACGATGATGCTATTGACATGTATGCAAATCGTAACCGCTTGACATGCGACATCATCATGGAAGTCTTTTCTATATGCGATTGCGCGAGCAGTGCAAATCAACAAATTACAAATGCGAGACACGTGAACAGCAATGATGGCGTCGCTAATATTAGCACGTTCTAGTAAACAGAATCTAGCTCGTTAAGGAATGAGCTAGAATAAAGAAGAAATCGCGTTTTTTCTTTAGGTACGTAATATGCGCGCGTGCGCGCAATGCGGCGTGACATGTTCGAGATCGAAACCAAGTATGTTTCACGTTAAAAACGTCATGTCAGCGATAGCGGTATCACTTCTACATTTTCCGAAGAAGCTAGTATTTCGAATCTCGGAAACATTTTCCGAGATCCAATGTTTCAAACATTTCGACACCGCGATGTTTCCTATCAATATTCCTAGATACATTGACAAATCATTACCGGATACATGATCCATGGGCTTTTCTAATCCATGCATCGCGTAGACCCAGCGATTGTTGTCGACTGGTGCGATAAGAAGCATCCTCCAACGATCCAATCCGGTAACGACGAGACGCGGTCTTTGTTACGGGCACGTAGGTATATATTGATTAATTCGCCAGCGCGATTCGGCCTCGTATCACGGCGCCCAATTCTATATTCTATTTCACTGAATTTTCGAGACGTTGCCTCGAAAGGCTTCGAGAGCGAACAAAATACGAAACTCGCGACTATCCGTGACGCGTCTTTAAGTTCGTGTCAGGTGTACGCGAGGAAGTGGACGCGTGGCGGCCGACAAAGACGCACTTCGACGATGGCGATACATGACGATGGCGATACATAACGACGGAGTTTCGCGCTGCGAACTGCGAATGCACAGATTTCCCTCTCCATTCCGCCTTTTCTATCTCGCTTGCGAAACCGTTGGAGAACCTTCCTGCCATCTCGTTCATTCATTTATTTACGCCCGCTCCCCCGCCTCTATCCTGCTCCCTCTTTTAGCTTCAGGGTCGACATGAATCGACCTGAATTGAAGTATTGACTGGACCTACTAATACCCGATCATCTGGAGTATTTGAGTAAACAGACTCTGCTTAATGTGCGCGAGTAATATTATTCGGAGTACCTACTATATTCGGATATACATATATTATACATACAAGTACTCATATCAGCTATACTACCTGGATATCCAGATAATTCGGACATCTAAATATTTCCGCTGATAAAACGGGTATTTGGATAAGACAACTCGAATATTTGGATGAAATTTTGTACCGCATACGCGATATAAGTAATCTGCATATTTTCTCGGATAACTGATTAATCAACTATCCAAAATTATTGGATTCGAATCATTGGACATACTATTGACTCTTGTTGGCGACCAGGATTCTCTAGTCCTGATGCATCCTAGATACGCTACTGAGCACTCCGCATATATGTATATTGTCCATCTTACTTCCACTCGTCGTTTCCACATACAGTTAAATCTGCTTTAACATCTCGCTCCATTCTCGCACTCTTTCTCTCGCATTCGAGCGGTCTCTCTCTCGATCACGTGCACACGTTACGCACATTGATTCCTCAAAGGTTCTCCAGCTCACTCTTTCCTACGCTCTTTTCATTCATCTCGCTTCGCACGATAACTCGTTCGCGTTTCCATTGGCTCGCTACTTCCCCACCGAGAACGAGTCACCTTATTTAACTTGGAAAAAAAATTCTATCACGCGGTGAGCACGTGCTCGTCCACCTCCCTCCCACCACCGCGGCTCATTGCATGCCGGCTTTCAGAGTGTTGCCGTTAAGTTCTTGTTTCTTCCTTCGATTATCTCAATATTCTTTAACGCGCACTTTTATTAGCATAGCCAAAAATTTAAATGTAAGAAATTTTAATAAAGAAAATATCTAAAAATTTAATCCAGGCATCGCTCCTTGTGTTTTTTCACGTGTACCGATAATTATTGACGTTTTCTTGTAATCGCAACTCTAATACTGTCGGAATTTATCATATTATAATTGGTCTTTAATGTATAATTAAGGAATCTCCTTTTTTATTATATATTATTATTGCACTTTTTGTATTCAAAAATTGCCAAAATATTTTAAATTTACTAACATTTATTGCTTCTATCAAACGTAGGATCAAATTGTGAATCTTATCTAAGATAGGAGCGAAAAAAGCGATAGAATCGTGATCGAGAAGGCAGTAAAGTTTTATATGTTCAAATCCTTTGTTATTTCCAACAGAGTACATATTACGGTACGCTTTTATCGTGGATAAGATTTGCAATCGGACTTTTTATAACAGTAGATATGTTCAATAACAGCTCTGCACAAAATCTATACTTTGGGACACAAAAAGGCGATTTCATCCTTTAGAGCTTAGGGTATAATCAATTTATTTTAGGTCTACTTTATGGAGAGACCTGTAGGTCTTCTGCCACTTTCGTGCAATCCCCTACAGGTCTCCCAGTACTTTTCCACTACTTTCGCCGTAGAAATATACAAGGTGTCCCAAACGCATGCCCGCATAATACTCTTGGTTAAATTATGTCTCTATTAAATCTTAACGGAACTTTTCTTTGGTAAAAATAGAACCGACGATACGTATTATTATATATTTATATTATATTTTTAGTCTCGATAAACAAACCGTAAAAATAGCAGCAGAAAGAGGATAAGTTCAACGACGTTTCTAAATTCTGAGAAGAATTGCTCCGCTCGTGTATGGCATTCTCGCGTGATTGGCTCAACAAACCCATAATTAAATTGTAGATACAATTTATTAAATTACCGTCGAGTGATTCGCATATAAAACAACACTCTGCGCGTGCACGAGATTTGCGCATACATGCGCGCGAATACTATGTGGAACCATAAAGACTCGATTAAAAGGCATCATTGCCAATAAAAGAATAATAGCACGTATATAAAGTTCTGGCACTCATTCGATTAAGCGGGACCTTGACGATAAAACTGTTAAGGTTAACCTGAGGGAAGTTTATAAAAAGAACTGAGACCTCGATCGATGACATTTGTTGTAGGCAAAGGTATAACAACGATCGAACGAGCGACATTGCGTATTTTAATTTTGATCTATTTATATTTTTGTTAGGATATTTTGGTACAATATTATGAAAAAAATTAAAAAGTATATAAAGACTCTCCCTGCTTCGCTCTTATTGCCTTCTTTCTCACCTAACAATATTATGAGTATACCTATACACATACAGCAAACCCGGATTTATCTCTGTATATGATACAAACTCGTAAATAACGATTCGATGAACTTTATCGATAACGTTAATAAATATTTTTACTTTAATTGATCTTTTTATTAACAGTAAAGATAACTGGCAAATGTCAATTGCAAGATTAAAAAAAACTTTTTTTAATTTAAAAAATTTTTTTTAATTAAGTTGATTCGTCTAGATTAGATCACAGCAAGCTAATCAAGAAGATTGCGATAAATGTTATTATCTCTCTGCGCTCTCTCTCTCTCTCTCTCTCTCTCTCTCTCTCTCTCTCTCTCTCACTCAAAATAAACTTATTTCTCAGAAAAATCGGTTTACTCCGGTTCGGCACTACAACTAATCAATAGGAGTCTCCCGGTGACGGAACTTTCTCGTTGCAATGAATTCTCAACACGACGCGGCGCGTCGCCGACTTCGACGAATCGGGAGCGCGGGGCTTACCTAGGTACGACTTCTTGCAACGCTCTACTCGTAGATAACTGTTCGGACTGCCGAGCACTTCAACGCCCATCTTTTTCCCCTCTGGAGTAAATGTCGAGCGGGCCACGGAGAGCCCTGCTTGCTCGCGGAAGTTGGAACCGTCGACGACGTAGTTCTCCTCGCGGGGACACGTCGGCGCACACTGGCTATGTATATAGATTATAGACGCGCAAAATGTCCACCCTGGATCAATATACCCAGATAACGGTCCCTCTATCGTGCCCCTTTCCGCGCACCCTCAAGATCGCGGATGCCGATCGAGGATCCTCTCGCGAACGCGCGAATGACCTCAATGCTAGCTGATGTGGAATTGCGAATTTCTTCTATGGCGAATTAACGTAAATGACGCACTGTCCAAGCTACGGAGCAGCTGATTCTGAACCGTATTGACCACCCGAATTCGTTTCTCCCACCCTACTCCTATCCCATTGGATAGGTTTTTCAACCCTCGCTGGCGCATGCGTCTTTCAGCGCAAAAAGCAGAAGACCCGGCATCGCCCTTTAAATCAATACGTTAGTATTATTTACGTCGAGAATGTCAATGTCACGATGCTAATTGTATATCGATAGACAAGACCTATTTCAAAATTATTGCCTCTAATTTTAATAAATTTTCTATTTAATTGCAGTCGACGCGCGCGTTGCCTTAATTAAAACAGTAGCGATTTGAAACAATAAAAAATCAAGGGCAATGCAAATGATAAAGAAATATATAATAATAAAATTTTTAAAATTTATTTAAATAAAATTTTATCACTTCCTTGAAGAAATTGAAGAAGATTATCGTAGAATTTTCAATCTGAGTTAAAAATTATTCAGAATTCTTGGATTTTATTGGCCAAAATGTTGACATTAAATTAAAATTTTGTGTCAGAAATCGTATGGAATCAATTCAATCCTCTATAATTATCGCTATTAAAAATAAGTCATAAAAGTCCTCGAAATAGATCAAATCTCAACCTAAACGCAATACGTAAGTACTCGGAACAAGATGCGAAGAAGACTTTGGCCGGTCTAACCCAGCACGTGATACGAGTGTGATAATTAACCGTTTCGCGTGATGTTTCTCCTAAACTGTCCTTTTCTCATATCTTTCTTCATTTTGCCTTCTTTTTCTTTTAAAAGAAATCCAATTGCACTGGCTATGCAATTTCACTCCCTCTCTTCGTCATTTGTTCTCTTTTGCAATTTGTATAATTTCCGGCAAAAAAATTGTTTATATGTATAAAAATGTATATAAATGTATATGATTATGTATAAAATAGGTTTATGTTTTCTTTTTTTTGTATAATATCTGTTCGTATATGTAGGAAAAATAAGAAAAAGAATTAAAAAATAATTAAAAGTATAATTTTTGTATTGTTTTTTCTATTAAAAAATTAATGTTTGAGAAAAAATTGCCTATATATGTACAATTATGAACAAATATAATAATCTGTATATAAAATATAATTATACATAGAATATTGTATAATCTAAATCACAATTTTACTTTTTAAGAAAAACAAAGCAAAAGTTTTTTTTTTTAATTATTTGTCAATTCTTCTTATTATTATTTTTTCTACATGTATATGTAGACAAATATTATATAAGAGAGTCTTGATAATATGTCCAAATATAAACATTGTAAAATTATGTGTATATATATTTTTTTATAAAAATTTTTTACCGGGTTCGTAAATAGGGCTATATAATTTTCTTCATCCTGATTTTGATAAATAAAATATATATTAGTGAAATTATAAATGAAAAGTAATAAATTTTCAGCTCTTAATAATTAAATTAGATATTTTAAATTTCTGTAAAATAAAATTCGTGAAGAACGCTAATCAAAACAGTTTTCTTTTTCAAAAGAAGCAAGTGTTAAATCGGAGGATATACATACAGCTTGTTGCAACTGCAATACAAATGGAACCTACAGAGTCATCTAAAGATTTAAGCAGATACTCCTTAGCACATATAGCATTTATCACACAACGATAAATTGATTATAGTCAGCTGAATTTTGTAAGCAAATTATGCACCCGGGAAAAAGAAATCTGTTACAATGTCTTATATGCTTAGATAAGAAGCGATCTTATATGCTCATATATGAATTTTGGCCTGATAAGATCTTATATGATCATATATAATTATATAAGGACATATAAAAAAATATCTCTTATATAATGTCTTATGTCTTATATGTTCATAAGAAGCGATCTTATATGCTCATATATAAATTTTGGCCTGATAAGAGTTTATATAGTCATATACGATTATATAAAATTATATATAAGGACATATATATATATATTTAAATAAGTTTCAGAAAATCGTTACTTTCAAATGTTATTTTTTAAGTGTGCCGCTTTATTATAAGAGTGGACTCCACGATACAATTGATATATACAAAAATTGTGCCGCTCCATAGCGCGAGACAGTGTCGTGTCTTTTGATACCGTTCTTATAACAAGCTGTTTGACTTTTAAATACGAGAAACAGACCCCATATTGAATGCCATCTATTGGATACTTTGAGATACAATATTGTGATTATATATAATCTTATATAACTATATAAGTTCATATATGATTATATTATTTTCAGTAGTTTAAAGTTTAAATTATACAAACTTATGGATAGATCCGAGTATATGTTCATATATATGATTATCTTTAACCTTATAAATATACTTTTACATGACCAGACATGATAATATATAAGTATATAAGATCATATATGGCTATATAAGGTTATACTTAAAAAGGTTTTATGGAATATATAATCATATATTTTCATATATAGTCATATAATATTGTTCCAGATTATATTTCAATTTCTTATATGACCATTATAATTATATATCTACTAATATAAACAAATAAGATATAGGTATTTTTCCCCGGGTATATAATTATATATGCTCATATATGGCCATATACAATTATATACTCTTATATATATGGCTATATAATAATGGCTATATATTGTTTAAGATTATATTTTCCATTTCTTATATGATCATATATAATCATATATCTACTAATATAAACTAATACGAATTTTCCCGGGCACCGCATTGTAATACAGTAAATAATATAAATTTTAAATAGAATCTCATTTTGTTGTCAAATTACACGGTTTTGATAGAATTAATTTTTGATGGAAGTTAATTTGGACGCGACGTATACCGTACAAGTATTGATTTCTAGCGGTGAAGGTCCTTGAACAGGTGTAAAAAGTAATAAATTATTTCTGATTTGGCTATCCATTTATGTAATACATATATATTTCGATCGATCGCGAGTCTGGATTTTCGGGCATAAAGAAAAACAGATCTTTTGTATAATAATGAATACGATATTAAATGAGTCAATGTATTGCCTATATCTTTTCTGAATTAATTAAATATTAGAAGAAGATGTTTTCTATTTTTAGAATCAAGCTCTGTTTACCTAGCATCTTAGAACTACGTCCGATGTGCCCTGCAAACCGTTGTACACGTGTGTAACTTTATTCGCTACTTAACGATTCACTGGCTTATTTCGCTAACGTGTCATAAGTTTCTCGATAACTTTATTCGATACCTAACAATTCACTGGGTTATTTTGATAACGTATCATCCCTCACCGCGGATGCGATTGCGATGTACGCGTTAAGCATTCGAGAAATTTGAGACTACCACTCCTCTTCGCACGATTTTAACCGTCAAACTTTTTAAAATCCAAATTACTATATGGATATTACTACAAAAATACTTGAAGTGCTTTTCATTAATATACATATAAGCAAGGATACTTACGCAAAATGATGTTTTTCGATCAACTGATATTTTTGCGAGAAGACACCAATATTGTTGACGAGGCAAACTGATCGCTTTGTCAAACAACACAGTCGCTTTATATTGAACAGTACAATTTCCAGGCCCGCTAGCAACGTCGCCTCCCCTTTTCGCTGCGATACGACTGTTATCTTGGAGTTTCAGATAACGGGTGGGAAGATAGCTGTTTCCCGGGGTCGTTTCGGATCGACCCTTATCCCGGACGGAGAAGTATCATGGCTTATGATGCGGTTACGCGCCTTATATAGTCCCGAGAAATCGACGGACACATGGTGACGACACGCGACAAATTGGAGGAAGAAATGTGTACGAGTAGAGAGGGAGATACAATTCGCAGAAGCAACTGCGAAAACAAAGGGCCCGATCTTTATGAATTATTTATGAACGGATAGCGTCACTGCACGATGCATTTCGTTAGAAATGAGAATTTTCCGTTCAACCAATGCGACTGGTTGTCATATTTCAATTTATAAATAAAACCAGCTGACAACTATTCCGCGAAACGTAAATTATAACAGTGCAAAGTGCATATTTTTCATTCGATTCTAATAAAATTGACGATAGTTTCTTTATATTTATTAGCTATGTTTCTTAAGATCCATTGGTCGAGATGTAATTGAATACTGACGGACAATATTTCCTGCGAACTTGACTAACACAACCGCAAAAAATGGAGCAATCGAGGACAAAAGCGTGGCAGTGAATACCCTGCTTTATTTTGCGGAAATCCCAGACTTAATCAGTACCTCCTACGTTCTCTACTACGGAAAAAAACGTACGTCATTAAAGCAAAGATGTCGCATATATCTGTATAATAGATAAATATGGATAAAGAATGGTTCTTGCGCCGTGCCAACGCGAATGATTATTTCAGACGAGAGAGAAAAGCGTCCCATTCCATTTTGCGACGCGTGCGAGTGCATGACCAGTGACACATATCAACGACGGGGCCAACGATCCTCTTGACATGCGATCTTAAGTTAGAAATTGTTTTCATTCGCGGTGCAAAGTCTCCTTACGGTCTACAGAAAAACACGCGCTCTTTCGTAAGCTAGTATACAATAAAGCGGATAATACCAGTGACAGTTGTTACGCATAACTGATTTCAGGTCGAAATCAAACGAGGTTTAATGTATTTATCACAATTTTGTGTTTCTCGGAATACAACTTCTTGAGGCCGTGCGTGACGTATCTTTTTCTGATTAATTTACTCTTTTGAGATGTAATATCTCATTAATTTTTTACTCGTGTCATATTGTCCGAAACGTTTATCGAAAAATCATATTTTATATTCGCTCTTTTGCAGAACAAGATAACTTTTTGTTTTTTTAATTTGCTTCTATATTGCTTATATAAATGTTTTACGTGAGTTTTGCTCGAAGAATATTTATATTCTGATAAAACATAGTTAACAGATAGCTTTCCAGTGAATTAAGATTACAATATCACATTATGTAGCCTTCAGAAATCGTAATGCTGAATAAATATTATGTGCTAAACGAGACTTGCGCGCAGTACGGTTTTTTCATATGTAACGACTTGAAACGCCATTAAAAGTTAGCATCAAT